GCTACAGTCATTTCTCATCTCTTCTTCTGGCTGGCTGCTGTCTCCTCTCAGCATCCTGCATACATCCTCCGGGCTGGCAGCTCATCTCCTTTACCTCCAAACAGCTCTGCTTCTTCAGCCCACCATACAGGCAACTGCCCTTATGTATCACTATAGTGTGGGTCTGAGAGAGAGAGGATATCCATATTTACATTTTAGAGTATTGTTGCAGACCCTAAATAATTAATATCTGAGCAGCTCAGACCCTTGTGTGGCAATCATCACACAAGAGAAAAGTGTCCTTATGAAAAATACAACAAAGCCCTTCAATCTAAAACACAGCCGCTTTTTTTGTAAGAGACACTCTGTGGCAGGATTCTACAACACAGCAATCGGTCTCGCTTTAATATACAGACCGGGGTAATGTAAAAAATACTTGGAGAGCAGCCACAGCTTTCACAGCAGCTGCTGCTACATTTTTGTCAGGATTAAGTTTATTTCAATTATAGAAAGGCTTGTGATCACCTGCTAGGAGGTTTTCAGCAGTTCAGGAGGCCAAGGGTGTGTATACAGCTATATTTAAACACCAAATGTGTAGCACAGTCCGGCACCATCCCATTTTCAGAGCATTCTGCAGTCATCCCCTAATTAAGTGTTTAAGTATAGGTTCCTCCTTCCTTTATGGCATGATATGAGCTGGAATTTTTAAAGATCCATATAAATCCTAATTTAATTTGGAGACGAGTGAGGAAGTGAAGAGACTGACTAAAATGGACATCATGTCATGCATCCCTTTGTTACTGCTGCATTGCTCTGGCTATGCCAGAAGAGGGCTAAACATTGTACCTTTTGGTGCTGCTTCAGCCCTTCACACAATGAAGCCATGAAACGTTCTGTTCCAGGGTAAGTGCACAGATGCCAAGGAAAACCTCAAAAAGGAGAATTGTATTTTGCACAGAGGCCGATGCAGGCAGCAAAAAGGCTGAGAAACCCGTGTGGAAGCCTGGAGCCCCCCATGCAACTTCAGAGCGAGAAGAGGAGGACTGGGAGCTGGGACAGAAGATGAATGAGCAAGAAGTTGTCTATGGTAGGAGGATGTGCAGTTCCACGTGGCCCTTCTGCCAACCACTGACCCCAAAGGTCCCTTCCAGGGTATAAATGGGCCCAAGCAGCCAGAGCCTACTTGGCTGCAGTGTGAAATGGAAGAGGCTTATGGGGATTGTTTGGGGTTTTACGTGTGTGTTTTGCACAGTACTTGCAGCCTGTGCCATTTCCAGCCCCACTCCAACCCAGGTACGACCACAGACACAGACCTCTGGGGCTCCCAAAGGTTAATCCTGTTAAGACTTTGCCTTTCTGTGCCCTTATCTGTAGGAGGTTTGCAGAAATACCAGCAGATGGTCCCACAAGAAATACCAGTAACCCTGTTTGACTGCAGGAGAAGGCAGGCATGAAGCGGGGCAGCCATTCACCTCCTGCTCTGCCTCCCCATCAGGTGGCTGTAAGCAATGTCACCGTGCAGGGTTGGCCAGCAAGGTCACCACCGATGCTTCCCCTTCCTACCATGCCTGTCTTGTCACCGTCAGACCCTACCATTGCTGCGAAGGTGGCAAAAAAGGGACAGAAAACAACGAGGCCAGAGGACTCCGACAGCTCAGGCAGAAGGGAAACCTTTCAGGGCGACAGCAGCAAGAACTTGGCAGCTGTGGGAAGTGACTTCTGGTGAGAAGGTCTGGCACCTCATCTTGCAATAGTGATGCTGGCAGGCAAGTCGCAGCTATCATTTAACCTGGGGAATGATGTGGTTTAATTGTCCTCTTAAAAATAAATTAGGAAATGGCTAATGCCAATTTTTAACAAGTGTCAGAACAACAGAAGCTTCCTAGCACTTTCCAGAGTGCTGCCAGAAGGTTGTTCTCAAAGGAATTAATTTTGTCTAATTAAATATCTCCACAGAGCTCTTCAAGTATCAAACCAAAACATCAACATGCAGCACTTTGCAGACTAATCGGAATCACGCTGGAGATGCTGAAGTGTTAACAGATGGAGCGGATGGTCACGATGGAGGAGTGGGAAGACAAACCTCCCTTTCCACCTCTGCCCCAAATGATGCACTTCATCCCTTGTCTCAGCTTACCCATCTGTTAAACGCATGGAAAATACTTCCTATAGCATGGATTTACCAGAGGACAATGGTCACAGAGCAGTGTGGCAGAGGCGTTGAGGCAGCCGAGAGCTTTGGTTTTTTTGGCTGAGGTTCAGAGGAGCAGGGCCAGAAGCCCGGGTGGGATCCGGAGGGTTGTATCTCACTCTGCACTACAGCAAGGTGACTGTCATTGCTTGCGAACCCTGAGCGTTCAGGTCTGCCAGAGGCTGGCTCTCACATCTCTCCATTTTGTTGCACATCGCAGCGGAGGTGCACTGGAGGGTTGAGCTTCATCCTGGAGGCAAAGGGCTGCTGCAGAGTCCTGCCCTGTCCTCTTTTTTAGACTGCTAATTCACACAAAAAAAATCAAGCATTTTTGTTTTCAGCCTGATTCAGTTACCATCACTGGCTCCTTTTTAAGTCCCGAGGAAGTGGAAACCTTGTGTTACAGCCAGCCCTGTTGCTGCCCCCACGTTGCTGTTCTCAACTCCTCCTCTTTATCAAAGAACAGTGCTTTTACATCCATGGCCATGTTTTGGTGAGCTGGAGAGATCTTTAACACTTGGAAAACAGAACTTTTTGAAATGTTTCTTACCTCAATACCTTTCCTTTTATAAAACCAGGAGTATTCATTACAAATCAGGTTAAATGAAAAAAGTGGGGAATAACAAAGTCCTCAAAAAAGCATAAATAGCCAGCTGAAATTGCTGGTGCAGCTTGGTACATGGAACAATACAGCCACTCAGTGCAGGCTCAATTATTTCTCAAACCGGTCTGAAAAGCCCGCTAGCTTTGCTACCTATTATGAGCATTTACCCTATTTATAGGAGACGTTTCTACATAGTGCAGCCTCTGGATGAGACTCGACGTGGTGCCCGCCTGATGCTCCTGGAAAGTCCTCCCTGAGTCAGCTGCTGCGGCTCGCAATGCAAACGTGCTGCCTTAGCACAGCACGGGATCATCTACTTGCCAGACAGGAGCATCTCACCCTCTTAAAAACTGTCAGATGACTGATCCCTTGCAACAGACAATAAAATTATTCCAGGGTAGGGTTTTTTTTTTGGCTTTTTTAGTGAAGTGACAGACATTCAGATGAATCGTTTGCGTGCTGGATGATTTCTGTTGACGGATAATCTTGCTGCAGTAGGAAAAAAAAAAATCAAAAAACGACCTTTTGTTTTGTAAAGCCAAATAATAAAAGAGATGAACATAAATTATCTGTGCTGTTTATCTATATCCATTTAAAATTTTCTATTTATAGCATCTGACATTGTCATTGGCCTGATCCCCATAAATGCCGGGTCGGAGCAACAAGTCTCCCAAGGGTGGAGAGGGGCTAAAGATGATTTTCAACAGGAGGGGGAGCTCTCCCTGCACCAACTGCCAGGGAACCTCTGCTTGCTTCAGGCAGAAAAAAGTCAGGGGAAAAGGTATGCTCACCATTTTGTTCCTTATGTGTTTTTTCATATGTTTGCAAGAATTTCACAGGCTATTTAGCTGCAGTGATTTGTTTTTTATAGATACAGTAATGCTCTATAAATCTAATAGTAAAACAAGCTTCCATGCAAAGTGTGCTTTCATTTGGTCCAAGAAGAAATAACATACCCACTTAAACGCAACAGCACAGGTTTTTGGAGAAGTTTGGCACAGGAAGGGAAGAGTACACTTGTCACAGCCCTTGGAGGTCTGCAGGTGGGAACCTTTGCCCGATAATTTCAAGATATTTACAAAATGCTAAAAGCTGTGCAAGACACAGCCACACTTGCTATCAGAATTTCCTATTCAAAACAAAACAAAACAAAACCAACAACAAAAAAGTTCAGATCAGATAAAAGTATTGTTGTTTTTTTGACCTAAATATTTTTTAAAAAAAAAATCAGGGGAAGGGAAGGGAAGGGAAGGGAAGGGAAGGGAAGGGAAGGGAAGGGAAGGGAAGGGAAGGGAAGGGAAGGGAAGGGAAGGGAAGGGAAGGGAAGGGAAGGGAAGGGAAGGGAAGGGAAGGGAAGGGAAGGGAAGGGAAGGGAAGGGAAGGGAAGGGAAGGGAAGGGAAGGGGCTGAACAATTAATTTATTTGACTTAGTTTTGTGCATTTACAAATATATAAAATACTTTTCTTCTGAACAGAAGTATTCAAGGAACTGGGGACGCTTTCCTTGTTCAGAGCTCCTGGCCCAGATCTTGCTCAGTTTTTTCAGCATCACACACCATGCTTCGTTCGGGCTGTTGAGGAACCCCCTGATTTCTCACTCTCGGTAACATCGCCGCTTTGCACTTCGTCTTGCCCTCTTGCACGCCCGAGGCAAAATACCGACCGTACCCACGCCCACGCTCCCAAAAATCTGCCCCGCGGAAGCCCACGGCGCAGGCGGCATCGCGCTGGGGCGGGCAGGGAGAAGCCGGAGTGCCCTTCGGGTGCCGAGAACTAAAGCTGGAGCCCACGGGGGGGGGGGGGGGGGGTGTGGGGGGGGTGCGAGGGGGGTGCGGCGTGTGTGTGGGGAGTACAGGGGGGTGAGGGAGGGTGCGGGGGGGGCACGGGGAGCGTGTGTGGGGGGTGCGGGGAGTGCGAGAGGGTGCGGGTGATACGGGGGAGTGGGGGGGTGCGGGGGGTACAGGGGGGTGGGGGGGATGCGAGGGGCACAGGGGGGTGCGGGGGGTGCGGGGGGGTGTGAGGGGGCACGGGGGGTGCGGGGAGTGTGGGGGGGTGCGGGTGATACGGGGGAGTGGGGGGGGTGCGGGGGATGCGAGGGGGCACGGGGGGGTGTGGGGGGGCGCGGGGGGGTGCGGGGTGGCGCGGGGGGTGCGGGGTGGCGCGGGGGGGGTGCGGGGGGGTGGAGGGGGGTGCGGGGTGGCGCGGGGGGGTGCGGGGTGGCGCGGGGGGGTGCGGGGCTCGCAGGCCGCGAGGTGGCAGCAGCCGGTCTCCAGCGGGGCCGGGCGAGGCGGCAGCGCCGGGCAGGGGCCCGGTAGCCCCCGGTGCTCCGGCACTCGCCACCCAGCGGCCCCTCCCCCTACGCCCAGGTCGGTGAGTCACGGCTTTTTGCAGGACAACTGACACGTCGTGATTCCAGGTCCCTACATTCCATCGGTAATTTCATACTCGGCGCTCCTGCTATTCGCCCCAGGGGTCCAGCTCCCACCCTAAAGCATCGTGAAGCAGGTTAGGTTTACCCTAGATGTTGGAAGATTCAATCTATTGAAAAATAAATCAGATAATACAATTACAAATACAGTAGTTCATTAAAATCTTAAGACCATCCACCCTTGACTAACACATGTATGTACAATATCTACCAATGTAAATAGCACCCAATTTGATAAACGATACGCAACCTTTTCCTGTCGGGAACTAGAGAGTCCTAGTTCTGCTAATAACTCGTATTTGCCTTGATGCCATTTTCCACGTGCTCCCAAAGGAAATCCCATAAATTTAATAATAGTAGCATTCATCAGTTCTTGAACTTGATCTTTAAGATGTTGATATAGCTTTACTTTCTCTGCTGCTGCATCTGCCAGAGGTGTTGGTTTACTCTCATACCTAAATGTAACATCCACTACCAAACCTTGATGCCCTATAACAAATACCAAATCCAGTTTATATAATTAATTTTGTTCGTCTTTCAGCAACGGCTCCTGGAATACAACACATTCTTTCTTTTTAGCCTCTTCTACCAACAGTTCACGTGGCTGGTTGTGTCTCTTAATCCTATCGCCTTGCACCACGGGGCAGTATCCAACGATACGCAAACACGTCTCATTTTCTGCTTTTTTTATCACTCCCCCTCAGTATCCCCAGGAGGGTCCTTCACTGCACGTTACAGCCGGCTGGGAATGGGCACAGGGCGGGGGGGTGGGTATGATTTAGCTCCAGAGTCACCAATAAGGACAAAATTATTAACAACTGGCGGTGCGTTAGGGTGGTTTAGGGTTTGATTTAGCAGGCCCTGGTTTAAGGACTCCTTGCTGCTCCTGCTGGATGGTAAAATAGATCTCTCCTACCTCTGTCCTCTGGGATCCCCAAAAGGACCTGTGGGAGTTTAGTTGTATTTTCTCTCATATTTTGCGCTTCATTTCATCTCACCCATTTGAGTATCAGATGTAGTTTAATTCTTCTGGCTGTTAACACACCGAGCTAGCATGGCGGATTAAGAGCCCTTTCATTTGACTTCCTAATTACTACCTTTTTTTCCTTCTTTGCAATAGGAATGTCTTAACTCATCAGTGAGAATTACTTTCCAATTTACTGCTCTGGACAAAGCAGTATGTGGCAAAGAATGTTTCCTTTTTGCACGCTGTGTTGGGTTTGGCTGGATTTCAAGTCTGACCTCTCCCTATATGTATGTAGGTATATACTAGATGTTTATGCACTCTTGTGGTTGGTGCTAGACAGAAAGCATCGCCAGACAAGCAGACATTCTTTTTTCTCTTTTTCAAGGGCTTTACCTTTGGCTCAGAATGGGGGGGCTTTAAGTCTGCTGGTAACAATTTCATTAAGAACGCAGAACATTTTTCATGATTTCTTTTTTTGTTTGTTTATTCTCTGTTGGGATAGTCTCAAGAACTAGGAAATTATGCAATCAAAATGACTGCTTAAATCATAATTGCACCAACTCGTAATTGCAACAGCCTTTGGAGTCATCTTATGCCTGACTGATGAAATAGTTTTATTCACTGATAGAATATTTCTCTGTTTAAAGTAGAAGGCCTGTAATACATACCCTTAAAGCCATAACTTCAATCTTATGAACAGGTGGCAAAAACCATAGGATTTGTTTTGCTGCTTAGCCTAGGAGACCCATATTCACCTGTCAGCTTTGGTCACAAAATTCCTGGCAGAGCAATGGCATTTCAGGACTGATTTAATCTCTGTCTAATTCACAGTTACTTCCCTGAGGCACACAGGGGACCTCAGCATTTCACAGTGACAACAGGACTGAGATGTGGACCTGTCTGTGCAAATCTCCCTTAGCCAGCAGCAGGTAAGTCTTGGGGCTAGAGCAGTCCCAGGCCCACCCAAAAGAAGGAGATGGGGCCAGTGTACCGTGTATTAACCAGTTCCTGACACACCCCTATCAAAAGAGGTCCACCAGTTTCCAAAGGTGCATGTGCAAGACCTGCATTTATGCACCCCGGTGAGATGGTGAGGAGACACCAACCACACATCATCTCATTATAGGCCAGGCTCCAAACATGCTGGGCAGCACCGTGCTGGGTGACTGCCTTTCTCTTTAACAGAAGCTGGAACAGCAGGGATGAAAATTGATGCAACCAGGAGGTCGATGGTCTCATTAAGTACATATTTAACAGGAATAAATTCCAGTGCTGAGGCAAACCACATCATTACAAGTGAAGTCAGAGTTCCCGCAAAACCCAGTGTCCTCTGAGCACCGCTTTAATCTTTTGGCTACCTTTTGTATTTACATTCGTTTCTTTGTTGAAGGTTTTTTGTTTGCCCAGGGTAATATGTCATCCTTCCCAATGGAGCTCAAATTTTAGCCAGGTGAAAGTCACGGCAGAGCTCTGCCAAATGGCCCGCTGCACTGCACTGGATGACACAGGGAAAACTGCAGCTCCTCGGTGGAGGAGGAGAAGCCCTGGTCCTGGTATTTACCGGCACAGCCGTGCTAACAGCAGGACACGGGGAGAAGGCTGGAATGGTGATGTTTGACCCAGCCTGCTGAGGGACAGGGTGCCCAGAGCAGCTGTGGGTGCCCCCTCCCTGGAAGGGTTCAAGGCCAGGTTGGACGGGGCTGGGAGCCCCCTGGGCTGGGGGAAGGGGGCCCTGCCCGGGGCGGGGTGTGGGGCAGGATGATCTTTAAGGTCCCTTCCAACCCAAACCACTCTATGATCTTCTAATGCCCTTGCGATGGAGGGCATCAGCCAAAATACCAGTTACCCCTTACAAGTGCTCTTGGGGGTGCTGGACTGGCATTATATGTGTCCTGCAAAGGAATATGCATCTTCTTGCATGTTCCTCTAGATATACACCATAACACAGACAACCGGGACACGATTCCCCCTGAGCAGGAAGTAAAGCCTCACTTCCTGCACATTTGTGTCCTGTATTACTAGACTCCACTGCAGAAAAAGCCTATCCCCATGTCTCCCGTCACACCCACACCAAGCAGAAAGTATGCGATGGGATGATATGCACGCTAATTAGCAGGCTAAAATGCACATGCAGTCTGGCCGGGCAGCTGCAGCCGAGTGGGATGGCAGATGGCCGTGCTCGCAGCCTTCCTACCCCGAGCTCCAGTGTTTGGAGGTCAGGTGGGGGAAGGGGTTTTCAGGAGACGCGTAGAACCTTCTCTTCAGTTCTTCTATGCATCTTTCAAGTGTGGTTGGACCTGGCAATGGAGCTTAAAGTGGTGTAGGAGGCACTGCCAGGTCGTGCAGCCCAGTGTTCCCATAGGAAAGTGGTGTAGCAGGGCTGGGTTGGGCTGGGCTGAGCTAGCTGCTCTCTCACCTGACTCCACAAAATCTCTTTACCTTCTGCACCTCCTAAACATCCTCGGCAAGTCTGGAGTTGCAGATGTTACCACACCAGAACAAGCTCCTCTTGGCTGGAGCCTGTAGCAGTTTCCAAAATTTGTCTTTTCTGGGGTAACACAGGAATACATGCTGGAGTTAGAAAATGTATAAACATTGAAACCAGAAGTGGGTAACTTCTTTGTAAGAGAGAAAGAGTTGGTAGGCTCCCTCCTATAGTTCCTCTTCCCATAGTTCCTCTATACCTATCTGTCCCCTTAAATGCTCATTTGCTCCAGCATTAAAGCAATGCAGAGTAAGCTCTAGGCTCTTTCTCTTCCCCTGCTGATTTCGCAGTGCACTCGCCGTGTGCTGGCTTGGGAGAGAGGAACCAGCCGAGCTGAGAGCTGCGGCACTGCAGGGCTGTTTGAGGGTCAGTGCGCACCAACCCAAATCCTTGGTGCTGCTGGCAGGAGGCATCTTGCACTCCTCTGTCCCAGTCCCCTATTCCCACTCTTTGTGTGCTGGCCCTTGTGCTCAGGGAACCCAGCCAGCTGAAAAGTAGAGAGAAAAAGGAAAAAGATGGAGTTTGTGTCTGGATTAATTCATCAGTCTGGCCGACCGCATGACCACTCAATAGCAAGCATCTCCACAAGAGAAGGGGCCGCTTTCTCTTTGAGCAGCAGCTGATACAGAAGCCAGTTATTAAAAAAACATCTTCCATAGGCACAAGCACTGGTGCCAAGAGCAGTCCTGCTTTTCCTCCAGCCCCGGCCGCTGTTTCCCAGCACTGCAGTGCCCTCACCTCGTGCTGACGGGTGGTTTCAGCCAGATCTGAGCTGGCTGGAAGCTCCTGGTTAGCTGTCAGCTAAATTAGTTCCCTGACCCACCACCCTGGGTGGCTGCGTGTGGCCGAGGGTGGTGAGATGGATAGCCATCTCTCCCATTCAACACTGCCATGGATTTGTGCCCAATTAAAATGACTATTAACTGTGGCCTTCATTAGTAGGATTGACATTCGCAACTTTTAATCAAGTGTTTGGCTTGTGGAAGAAGCAGAGGAGGGAAAGGATCACTTCTCCATTTACCACAGATATGTTTAAAATAATAAAAAAAAAAAATTCCTGGTGAGTAATTTGAGTCTGATACAGCTGGATTTTAAAATTCAGGATTTAGGCGTGGGAGGGATAAAATATATTTTAAATCCCCACTTTCTCTCCCTAGCCAGATGAATTTTAGTAAGGATCAGGTTAAGGTGGTGACTGTTTTCCATGTTGGCTCTGGAATATTTCTGCCAGAACTGGATTTTTATGTCCCATAAAAAAGGGAAAGGTGCTGTAATGGAAGTGCTGACACCACTTCATCGCACGGCAGCCCTGCTAACGATGCCCATGGAGCTGGAGGAGCCAACTTGGCAGCTTAGGGCCAAGCCTGACAGAGAGGCTCTTTGAAAATAACTTACGGCTCTAAAAATAAACACAAAAAGACCTAACCTTCTTTGCACTGAATGGGTGGCAAAATTGCTCTCAAATTTATTGGAATCCCAGGACGGTGTCCAGGGCTTCCCCAGCCAGCGCTGCCAGGGACAGGGTTAATTGCTTGAGGTGTGGTGGGAATTGTTGGGTGTGATTTATTAATGCTCTTTATCTGATACAAGAGGTTCCTGAAGGAGAGAGGAAAAACTAGCTGAGCCAGAATAGCCCTGGCCTTGCTGAGGGCGGAGGCAAAGTAGGGTGCAAGACTAAAGGTGTCTTACCTACACCAGGTCCTTCTGTCCCCGTGGGACTGCAGGAGAGCCACTGGCCACCAAGTGTCCCCCCAGCCCCACACCCCAGCCCTCCGGGACCGTGCCAGGCTGGTGAGGTCCCACCCTGGGCTTCCTCACACATTTTCCATGACTCTGACCCCTTTCGCTTGTATGGAGTGGCAATCTGTTCCGGGGGAGGAGGAACAAAAAGGCTGGGTGCTGTCAGCCACCACGCTGTGGTCTTGAGGGAGCTTCTGATTTTGTTCTTGGGAGAGCTGCCCTTCTCTGTTCTCCGGTCGAAACGCACGTTGTGCCACAAACCACAGGGCAAACAGCCGGCACAGCAAACCGGCTGCAGGTGCGGGCAGCAACCGCGCTGCTCCACGCAGGGCACACAGACCCAGCAGAGGTGGTACTACAGAAAAGAAGTTGCCGTTTAACACCATGTGAAAGTGCTTCAGCGGTGGACTCCACCATTTATCTTGATTTTTCAAGAAACCAAGTCCAAAGCAGAGTTTTGAGCAGAGCTGAACAGTTGTTTACGGTGGGGAGAACTGTGCAAAAATCAGGAAGTTCTGAGGCTTGCTGAAACAGAAACGCTTGTTCAAACTGAAAAATCTAAGTGGAAATTTAAGGAAGCCTGGGGGGTTTAATAAGAAATTGTTCTTGTTACATAAATGAGAGTTTCTCATAGCAGTACACCAGTGTTTCATCAGGGAGGTGACACCTAGTCAGCAGAACCCAGAGCACTGGAAATGCAAGGGATGCTCAGAAGGTGGGAGAGCAATGGGGACATCACAGGAGCCAGGAAAATGAATTTGAAATGTGTATTTCAAGTGGACTTCTGCGGTAGGGGTTACTCGAAAAGCAGGCAGAATGAACAGATGTTTTTAACTCAAAACACGTTAAGGTGAAAAGCCCCAGTGCAGCTGTGCTCAGAGAGGCCCCCGGCACAGGGCGGCACATCCCTCGCCGCGGCGCACTGCCTTGCTTCAGAAAACGTATTAATTCCTACAGTGGTGGCCAGTGGCTGTGTTCACCCATTCCCCCGTGACAGGGGAGCCCACTGTATGGAAACCCAGGTTGCATTAGTAAAACGAGAAAGCTAACAAAGCTGGGGCATCTTTGCATTCATCTCCCTTGTGAATCTGAGCTCAAAGGCTTTTGCTTTCTTTGTCTCAGACCACAGCCTTGGAAAGGCAGTAGAAAATTCCAGCAATTCCCTCCAGCTGAGTAGAGGCTGCCATGCGGGCAGGTCCATGCACGACCACTGGTGCTCTCCACCATCAGACATCTTTATGTAACTCCAGAGTCAGACTGAGATTCGCTTTCACCCAGAACGCACGTTTGCACTGCTTCCAGCGAGTCTCTGTAGGAAGCCTTGTGTGTTGTTGAAGGATTTAATTTCATTTCTCTGTACAGCTTGTAAAAGGCTTCTTGGAAACCAGATCTTTGCATTTTACTTGAGTTCACCTATCTGCCAAAAGCTGTTTCAAGTTACTGTTTCCAAGCCATGTTAAACAAATCCTTAGGTAAGAAGGAGGTAGCAACAACAAGTACTGTATATCTTTGTTGAGAAGTCACCGCTTCTAATTATGTTCCCTCCTTATAAGCTTTAATATCAAGGACTACAAAATGAGGTCAACCTCTATTAAATGTAATGACTTTCCCTGTGGAGCTTGCAATGAAAGCAGCTCCACAACAAAGGTTTCTATTTAAGGGGGGGGGGGGGGGGGGGAAGGGGGGGAAGTTTCTATTACAAAGAAGTCCCCTAACTCGGTGCAGGGGCTCCATTTTCACTTGCTGACTACAACAAAGTGAAAAGATTTGGGCTGAGACTTCAGCCAGTGCTTACCCGAGAAAAACAGATAAGATGAATTAAAACATGAAGTTGAGAAAAAGCAAAAGCCCTGTTGCTACAGGAGCTGACCTAGAACCGCTCCGGCAAGCAACACCTTAAATTGCAGGCAGCTCCCGAGAGGGCAGAAAGCACAGCTGCACCCTCGAACCAAAGCAGGGCCCTCACGAGCCACAGCTGCATGCAGTGAGCAAAACGGTTATAGCAAGAGGAGCAGCCGTGCTTTTTTTCTTTTTGCTGCAGGCTAGACCCAGTTGGTTCCCCCTAGGTGCCCTGAGGACCAGGCAACGTGGGTTGCTCCTTGAGGAGACTTGTAATGGATACGGGAGCTATTTCTGAACCCCGCCAAGAGGGCTGGTTGTGCGGCAGTGCTGTCACCCTCTTGGTGGGCAGCTCTTGGGGCCCTGGGCCTGCCAGGCAGCTGCTGCCCTGCCCAACTGGTAAGTCTGAGAATCTCTGATTTTCACGTGGCAAAAGTGCAGTAAGTTGAATGGGCTGCTTGGCACTACTGTAGCTATTTGCGTGGATCTTTAGCTTGGTGTTTTAAGCTAGCTTGGCTTAATGCTGTCTTAAGAAATGCTGTTTTAAGAAATAAATTCTCTTTTACACTAGAAACTGGAGGCAAACATGGCCATAATTTTTAAAAATTGCTGTTGCCCTGATAATAGTCTAACCACTGGCAAAGCAAGTTTACTCTTTCTTTAAAGGCATTTTCTCTTCCTGCAGCCCTGCAGGCAGAAATTTGCTAGACAGTTGTTAAAACACTGCGCCTGCCAAGTGCAAGAGGATTATTTTGGCATCAGCTTTCAGCTAATATTAACTGCGCCGTGCTAAGATCGCCATGTTTGAGGCTCTGTCGAAAGCAGTTTTAGAAAGGCAGCTGCCGGCTTGTTCACCTCCTGCCTCTGGCTGCTCAGCCTTTCTCCTCCCCCTGCCCCCACTGCAGCTCAGCTCTCCGCTTTACATTTTTTATCACTGCAGTCAGTTGAAATATCATGCAAATGATATCTGCCTCTATTAACGCCTCGGCGTGCTAGTGACGCACTACAGCCGTTCTCGCAGGAAACAAAAAAATTACTCTGGGGCGCGCTGGGATGCGGACCGACCTCCTCCACCGACGGAGATTCTCGCCCTTTAAGAAAAAGCCTGCAGTAATTTTCCATTACCCTGCACGGTCTTGTCTACGTGGCAAGAATTGTTTGTGGAGGCTGGAGCATCACGGGTGAGGCGCAAGCCCCGATCTGGCTGCCGTTGCTTGGCTACGCGCTCGGCATGCCGGCAGCACGCCAGGCTCCTGGGAAGCACCTTTGTTCCCGAGAAGGGATTTGAGTTGTGTTTCCATGCTGAAGGCAGGGGACAAATGCTGCCTTTCTCAAGCAGCCTGGCAGAACTGGAGTTTCTAAATCGCCCGAGCCACCCAAAATACTTGGTAATAATAATATGCTCAGGGTCCATCTCCTGTGATGGTTTTTCTGCCTTTGCACAAGGAAATAGCTTATAAGGAGCTTGTGCTGTTTGTCTGCTGTTGTGCTGATCACAATACTCACTTAATCGAGGCAGCTTATTGAACTGAGGAGAAGTAATGTCAGCAAAATCTTCCCCTGCTTTTGTTGTTTCCCCCGAACAAAGTAGATAGAGTTGTTGTTCTCCAACTTGATAAACATTTTTTTTTTTTTAATTCTTTTTTTAATGTAAGCTCTGGAGTCCTGACGGGTGAGTCTCTGCTCTAGTCCACTCAGGATTGTCTGAAATGCCTGAAATATTTCAAATGCCACCACCAAAATCTGCGGCAGCATGGAGGATCAAGTTTGCATGCTTTTCCTGCTCGCTGGGGCTAGGCTTCAAGCACAGCAGCAGCCTTAGTGCAACAGGCGTTTTCGTGATGTCTTGAGCATGGCTTCAGCTCCAAGGTAGCTTATTTTATTTGTGTGAGGCTTGATAGTTCCATTAAGAGCACAGCTTTGTGTTCCTCTGCTATCAGCCTGTGTTGTCAAAGACCCTCCCTATCCCGGCAGCCAAACCTACACTGATAACTGTTAAGTAAACAAGTCCTCTCTGTTAGGTAATGCTGCCATTTGCTTTTTGAAGAAGCTCCAGGTGCCCTTGGGAGCTGGCCCCCAGAAGGAATGTCACTTTGGGGTGTCTGGCTACCACTGGAAACCTGGTAACTGAAAAACTTGGTATAGGGTGGAACACTGTGTTTTGCTTTGTGGAGTGCGAAGCCAGAGGGGAATTTCGTGCTCATAACCTGGCATCCTCCATCACACAGATGACTGAACCTCACCCAGCAGAGCCCTGGCACATCTACAGAGGGGACCACCTACTCAGCCCTGCTCCTTGCGGGGGTCCCGATGAATCGTGCCTTTCTGTGGCATCTCTCCCTGAGCACTGGTGTAGCCCTACCTGCAGTCCCCTCACCCACCAATTTTTGTCTCCTAACCACTCTGAGGTTTATAGTTCAAAGATGCGGCTTCACGGAGTTTCTCTTGAAAACTGGCAATGTCCTCTGCTTTCTGTGCTTCTTTTTGGTCCTGTTTCCTTATATCCAGCCCTTCTACCACCTCCTCCTCATCCCTGCTGCTGCTGGCTCCACTGCTGCCACGCAGCAGCTCGGCTGATGCTGCGGCCACCGGAGGACCCGCACAGCACTCCCCACGTCTCAGCCAGCCACGCAGGGAGGGTGCAGCCGGGCGTGCTTAGCAGCTTGGCTGTGAGCTGTCCCTCACCTGGGATCATGCTTGTCCTCCATCAGTGAAGTCTGCCTTATATGTTGGGAATGCCTGAGCCTGTGTTTAGGGTGGTGAGTCTCCATACCCCTAGGTCAAATTTTGCTATGTGAATAACTTGATGGTTAGAAGCAGCACCTTAGTCACCTTACACACTGCTTGGCTCCCTTTGTTCAGTTAACTTTTTGAGTTGTTTTATCTGTCCTTGGCTTGATTTTTTTTTTTTTTTTTTTTTTTTAAGTCAACTACTGCCTCTTAGCAATCTCAGAAAACCCTGGTATCCAAGAAAATATGAGTTTGGCTCTTGAAAAGCAATTGTTAGTAGCAGCACTTTTCATTGTGTTTTCAGATGTGAAAAGCAGAACTTCTGAACTCTTGAATCTTTTCAAGAAGGCAAGCTAATATAGCGGTTTGCGAAGGAGGATCCCTTTCTGAAATACACGGGGCCCTGTGCTGTGTCTGCTACAATGTGCCACCACCACAGCTTGCCTTTGCTTGGGATTTGCTCTGCACAATACAAGGCGGAGGATCTGGCCTGCCAGGAGGAGGGTTTGCCTCCCTTGTTTGAGCAGTTCGGAATGCGGGTGAGTCACTGCCTTACTGGAGGAATGAAACCTTCCATCCCAGTTTCTTATGCCTTTGTTTGCTTTTAGAACTGCAGTACTGTTGAAGGCAACTCGCACCCCCCTTGGCTTCTCTGTGGCTCGTTTTTTTTAACATCTGTTTTCACATTTTGTATTTCCTTCTTAAAAGCACATAGATGAAACTACACCTTTCTACGTGCCTTTCAGAAATCCATGGGATCCAGCAGACCTTATGAGATCAGAGCAGGCAACACCACTTCTGTCCCCAGCGAACAAGACTCATTTTCAGTACAACCGGTGCAGCAGGGTGTAGTTTTTCTACAGCAATGTCACTAATTAACATAGTGGCAATTTCCAAATACAAAATTAGAACAGTCTTTGAGGACAGTTTGTTTTAGGAAGGCAAGATAAGCAGAGAAGGAACGAATGTGTAGGAAAGAGACAAAAACTACAGACTAATTGTCTGTATTTTCTAGCTTTCGACTATTTGATTAAGCTTAAGGACCTGTGGCCATTTTTGTGAAAGAATTATCTGATTTTAAAGGTTTTAAATACTTCAGATTATGTTACTACCTTTGAAAATAAGGCCCGTCCCTTATGTGGATGCTTGAGTTTAGGTTACTTTACGTTTTGCAGATTGAAAGAAGGAGATGTTAAAAGACTCTTCATACATACATTGTGCCATTTTCCTTTACTGCAGTTTGACATCTAAAACTGATCTTTTTTCCTTAGATAGCTTTTCTTCTTGTGGTTTTGTGTTGTGTTGTTTGTTGTTTTTTTTTTTTTTTTTTCCTACACGTCGATTTAAGTCTGCCAGTTATTCCCAAAAGCTCAGTATTTATATTTATTCCACAGCAAGCATGTGACTCGTGTGACTGCATAATTACATCAAAATGAATTTGGGTTCCTTTTGTTGCAAAATGTTCTAGGGCTACAGATATGACTTGAATGCCTGATAAACTCCAAGTATTGAGATTACAAGAAACACTATCTACAAAATCCTACGGATTAAGGTCATGCATGAGATATTTAATTCTCCCTCCTGTGAGGTTTGATTGCAGATATAGTCTGCTCCCACTGACTCCTTAAAATGAGAAAGCTTGAAAAATTTACCAGATTCTGTCAAATTTGCTGTGCTGCTAGAGGAGCTGGAGGTGTTGAAGAAACAGGGAACTGTGAGGAAAGGAAGAAGCGGGCACCAGGAGGGTCAAAATCCCTGCTGGCTCACAGCTTGAAAGCGAGGAAAGCCACCAAGATGACTCTTTTTCTGCCAGAATTTGATCCACTATAGAATTAGAATTAACTGTATTAGAAGGGACAGCTCTTCCTCTTTGTTGCTGTGATTGCAGCCGTGTTCCAAGGCTGCAGTTGAGCCCAGGGCTCCGTTGTGCTGGGTCAAAGAATGTGTATCCTTGCAAGTAGAAGTTGTGAGGTGAGGATAGGAGAAATGTGGACAGCAGAATTAAGGTTGTGGGGAAGCACCTTGGCCCTGTGAAAATTCAGCCTTAGTTTGTTTTCTTTTTTCCCCTGGAGGCAGATAAATGATCAGACAGTATGTCACAGAGCCTTCACTTGATGGACGGTAAAATTGTCATTGCTTTCTGTGGGCTAGCCAGTGCCTGAGGCACTGAAGACCACTGCTCACCTCTAAATCTGCCAGGAGCTGATTTTTTTTTTTTTTTTTTTTTTTTTTTTTTTAACTAGAGGTGGCCATACTTCTGTTTGAATTTGCTCTGAGATCACCAATTCTTTTTTCCACAAGCTACTGAAAATCATCTGATGGGAATAACTTCCAGTAACTGACTCTGACATAGAAGGAGTTTATCCTTTGGGAGAACAAACCACTCTGTTTCTAACATGCAGGGATCAGCTGCATGCACTCCCTCTTCCCACAATAACCTGTGGATGTAACAATTTCACCCTGTTGTAGACATTATTAGTCACTTCTGTCCTTCATGATGCCTGTATCTAGGGCATCGCTGCTGTCTGTCTGCTTGTCCCAAGCGAGCCTGGTGGTGTTTGTGCAAAACCTGATTGGGCTGAGAAAGGGGTGGAGAAATGCAGTTCTCTGCCCAGGATATATTTAGTGAATGCAGCTGTGGGAGGCAACAGGAACAAGAGAGCTCTTGTAGTGCTAGAGCTGTGACAGCTCACATGCTTAAATAATCTGCTGTTTTCTTAGCCATGCATTTTTCTCCCCCTATGTTTTTTTGTTTGTGTTTTTTTTTTTTTTTTTTTAATAATTTGAATGTAAAGTTATACCTTAATGTAGTTAGAATTCTTCCTGGAGGTTAAAAGTGAGATGTGTTATGGTGCCAGCCTTGCTATAGCCTTTCAAGGGGAGCAGCATGCAACTTCCACATGCACTGGACTTTCTCCACGGCAAGCAGGGAGATTTTATTTTATTTCATTTCATCCACAGTGGTGTAGGAATATGCCTTTTGGGTACACTGCTGTGCTTCCTTGGACTGGAAGCAGACCTGCAGCACTAGTGTAGGCTCTCCCAAGCAGATCAACTCTGCTTCTTGCTGGGGTGGAGAGCCTGCTCTTGGTATGCCAAGGCACTTCACTGTGCTGTGCAAACTCTCCTGGTCTTCCCGACATCCCGGGGAGTCTGATCCAATACTTGCTGGTACGTCATGGAATGAAAAAAAGAGCACAAAAATAGTTCTAGGGGCCTGCTGGGTCAAGTAGGAGCATGTTACTGTTGCTCTGCATTAGCACTAATTTGTACTCCCTGGCTGTGTTCAGACTTGCCTCTGGAGAAAGACTGAGGCTGGGAATTACCCAAGCATGTTCTTCCCCGGCTTGTTCAGCAGCACACAAGCCATGCGCTAGTATGCCTCGGGCATTAGAAGTTTATGACAAATTAAACTACAGAATAGAAGAAGAACTGGTTGTTTTTTTTGTTTTTGGGTTTGTTTTTTTTTTTTTTGGTCTTGTTAAGGGGTTAGAAAAACAAGACTGGTTCAGGGAGGTCCAAGGTATGTGTTTGTGTCTGGGCACAGACCTGGGATGATGGAGACGTATTTAGAGGCAGAGAGACAAACTGCCATTTCTTTCTCAGAGCTTGCCCCTCTTCGCGGTGTTTTTCCTGAGAGGCAGCAGTGACCCAGCCGCTTCCCTCTGCCAGGGCAGCACCCTGACCCTTCCCACCCCACGCGGGGCCGCACGGCTCTGCTGTTCCCGTGGCAGGGACTCGTACCCACCCAAAATCTCTGTTTGAAATGCAGCTCCTGGGAGTGACTTTCATGGTTCCGCCACAGACCCTGAAACACATCCGGCTTCTGTTAAAATTATGCTGTGTATGTGTTGTGGATAGAGCCGTCCCACCTTTGCATGCTGTGACCTAAGCGGGGGGGGGTTCTGTGGTCAGTTTTTGTATTGAAAGTATTTAGTACTAAGGTGTAGAAAAATGCAACGGCGAACAAATCTGCACTGAGCTCGATGCCCTGGGGTTCGGGGTACCCTCGCAGTGTTTTCTGTCCTTAATCTCGCCGAGTCTGTGCCTGAGACTTGAGGGATTTTATTTCAGCAGTTAAATGGTTAACTTCAGGACTAATTGGCTCTGAGAGCTCCAGTCCTTTGCAACAGATTATTGGCATGCTGGTAAGAGCAGCTCCCTTCCTTCCCTTCCCCCATCATTATAAAAACATGTACTGTAGCGAGAAACCAAATACCACATGGCGCCCTACACGGAGCCCATCAGTGCTCCGGCTCAGTATTTAGCACAAAAGTCCTTTTATGTTTGGGAAGCGGAGGGAGAAAATTCTGGAAACGCAAGATCGCGGTGATACCGGTTGAATCAGCAGATTTATTTGCACGGTGCAGGGCGCTGGAGTCCAGAGCCCCGCATACCAGCCTGCAGGCACCCACTCACCCCACGCCAGCGTGGGGATGAGTCCCCGGGTGTTTTCCAAAAGGTGAAGGCGGATGGAAAGACTGGTCTGGGCACAGGGAGAGCTCTGTGCCCTCCCCATCGCTTCTGTGTAAGGTTACAGCTTTGCGGAGGGCTCTCGGAAGTCCCCGAGGGACTGAATGTAAAGAGAGAAAAATGAAAGCTTTTAAAAAAAAAAAAAAAAAAAAAAAAAGTTGCATTTCTGGTTTCCTGCGGGGCTGTGTGCGTTTTTAGGCAGCTGTCTACAGAGGCAGTCGCCATTTCGTGAAGCAGCATTAATGCAGCCAGAGGAGACATGTTGTGTTCATGGGAGTTTGTATTTTAGGGGTTTTCTCCTTGGCTTTAATCAAGAGGCTTACTCATTCCACCTTCACCCTCTTTTAGTCCAGAGGCTTTAATTCTTAAGGCAAAAAAAAAAAAAAAAAGTAATAACAAGTAAGAAAAAACAAGGAAAAAGGGGAAAAGTTCTCCTGAGGGGATCACAGTGCGCAACCAAAATCAGGTCTCTCTCCAGGAGACTTAAAAAATTTTAGAGTTGTGTTTCCTAAAATGCCACCAAGCGCAAGGCTAACCGGGATGATAATGCGGCTGCGCTCCCAGCATCGTGGAGGCACAGCTGAGGCGTGCAGGGAAAATGTAGTACATCAGCTATGTTTTAGAGTATCTGTTTCTAGTATATAAAGATGTCTGTGCACACGCGATACCAGCCCTTTTTGACTTGCATGCACTTACTTTACCTCCAGGTATTGAGATATTAGTTTTGATCTAAAATAGACTACTGCTAGTGCTGCAGAACGGCTCATTTGATCAAAAGAGAAAATACTGATTGTGGCAGGAGCGAGGTCAGACTGAATCCCCTTCAGTGCAAAACTCGTTGAGCAAGCAACAGCATTTTTGTTAAGGGTCTTTGGTGCTGGAGTTTACTTTCTCCATTTTGAGATCTTTCACTTGCAAAGTACGTTATAAGGCTCATTCGTTTAACAAACCTCTGGGAGCTAGGAGAGGGAGCGTTAATGTTGGCGTTAGGGAATACAAGTGATATTGTTGCCTTTGATTTTGGTTTTGTGTCATTATTTTCTGGTTTCGGAGCAAGGAAAAGCTGCTCATTTATTTTTCATGTAGCTGTATTTTTATCCTGGCTTCTTAAGGAGGCAGGGCTTATGAAATCACGCTGCTAGAGGCCTTCAGCTTTTGATCTGATGTTCCGTTTCAACAAATTTCAGTTCTAGAGTTTCTGCACTTTGGGGGAGGCTGCAGGTTTTAGAGACCAATTAGTGCTTCAGCTAAAGGAAGACCTACAAAATGACTGCAAAGACTATCTTTTCTGATTTCCTTGCCGACAAAGCAGTCGGTACCTACGTGCCAGTTGACCGCTCGGTAATGTACAGCTCAGAAATGTCGCAGCCTCTGCCTGAACGTGGTGCGGGAGTGGGGATGCTGCAGCGATGCAGCACTAGTTGGGTACGTGGCTGACAGCTATCAGGAAAGCAGGCCTCGTTATTTCAGCTGCTCACAAAAAACACTTGATAACTTCTAACCATGATACTCAAATCCAAACTAGGATTGCAAAAAGTATTAGTAATGTTTTAAACCAAGATTCCTCCACATCAGCTGTGGTTGAATTTTGCAGGATCTTTGATCTCGCTCTGGGTCTAAAAGAGTGTCTCCGTTTCAAGCCTGTCACCTGCAAAGATTTCTGAGATGGTGATTCCTTCACTGCAGAATACCAATGCAAGGAAACATTTTTGCCACCTCAAGATCATTATTTTCTTGATTGACCTTTTGTACTCCACTGAGGTTATATTAAATCCACAGGTCAAATGTAACAGGTGCAGTGTGCACTGATGACCAGTGATACATGTAGTACAGAGCTCTAGCGTGAAGTTCATGCACGACTTTGATCTGTTTGTGTGAGACTGCATTATAATGATAATATAAGGCATAAAATAGTTTTCATATATAAAAATTACTTTTCCAGCATATACTAACGTGCCTGTGTGAACCTCTTAATTATACTTTCTCAAACTTAATTCCATTTTATTAATATCACTTGAATGGAATTCAGCTTCACTTTTGGTTCCAATTTACATTATCTTTAGTGTGTGCGTGTGTGTATATATATATATGTATATATATAAGATAATCCTTTATGAATGTTTTGAGCAGAACAGTTTTCATTCATGCAGCAAAAGTTCTATCCCTGAATATTCATTATCAGCACCTGATAAGCTAGCTAGGAGCACAGTATCTTAATAATTGGAGTTTAAGGGGGAAGTTAAAAAAAAACAAACAAACAAACAAACAAAAACCAACCAAAAAAAAAACTGCAAACCAGACTGCCAGTTAAAGTCCCAGTGTTTCATTTTTTTGTTCATGTTACAATTCTGAATTATTCAATCATTTGACTTTATCTCCTACACATACAAACTCATGTTCCCCATGCATTTTTTCCCTCCAAAGTGTTCTGTGGTCTCCTTTATTTTACATACAGAGTGTTCAAATGTACTGTTTAATACCAGTAACATGTGGCTTGTTACAAGAAAGTTTTAGATGGTTTCCCAATTAAATGCATTTGATTTTAACACATTTTCTTCTACTTAAGTCTAACATTTGGTCTCTTGATAGTCAATATTGTGTTTTATGGGAAGGTTTTAAAGGTATATTGAAGGACATGAAAAAGAGGTAAAGTAGCTAGCACAATTTAATTTCTGTTGTTCCCTTTGCCACTATTAATAAAAATAGGCAAGAGAAGAAATGTTGGGGAAAACACAAAGAGTAGTGATGCAATTATACCTACGTGTGCAAAACTACAATGCTTGCTCTTACTCCTGAAATTCAGATCTCTGCTTTATGTTCTCTTTCCCGTCTGTGGACTGCGTTAGTTCACTTCAGTTGCATTTTCCAAGTACTGACATACATGTTCATTCCTAAATTCACTTCATATGCTTCCAAATCCTTAGGACAACATTGGGTTTAGACACACCAAGAAAAACATGGAGTGATTCCACTGACCTAAATGTAATTACTCAGCGCTGAATTAAAGTCACAGGCACATAATTTAAGACCTATGTGTTTGGAGTAACAAGAAGAGATCAAAATCTCAGCTTTTGTCATTAAATTAAATGTTTCTAAAGCTTAAAATAAGTTTGTAGTGAGAGGTAATAGCTTCTTGTTAAATCCACTATTAAATCTTGAAGAAAATAAGTCACATTTTGGGCACGTAGAACCTTGTTTGGGTCTTCCACTGGGTGAAACTGCAGCGAGCGTTGCAGTCAGATATTTCAGACAGTGTTCAAGCGCTGTGGATGTCTCACCCAAGATGTCTTGCATTCCCTCTGCTGCTTTAATTGTACAAAAAGCCATTGACCTAATTTTGTGACAGGACTGTACCAACAGTGGTTTTTTTCTTGGGCTGCTTGCATTTTCTCACCAGCTCACCTTCTAATACTAATCTTTGACTAAATAGGAAAAAAAAAAAAATACACTGTGAATGATTTCAAGCTGAGATGAGTATCACTGTTAATGGCTTGGTCAGAAAGAGTATTTGTTTCAGCATGCAAATATGTTGCCTGCAAGAGTTAAAGCTGCAAATTCTGGAGTTTAGATGCCTGACATGCAGAAAACTGCTCTAGTCCCTAGGCTCATGAGCTTTCCTAGCTGGATAAAGCTCTGACAGGAGCCAGTTTACAGCAAATTGACTATAGGAAGAAAATATAAAAGCTCATGGGAAACATCAGTCTGACACAGAAGCTATTTCTGTTCAGGTGACATTCTAATCCAAGTGTATCCCTTATATAGTATCACTACATAAAAAATTGATTGGACTCCACATCTAACAAGTGTGGAAAAATACGAAGAAGTTTGTTTTGAGCTACAAATATAAGGGGTCTTTTATGTATATGGTACATTACACCAGGGTGATTCAGTGCTTCATCAGACTATCTATAAAATAAAAAAAAAGTATATGCTTGTAAGATTTCAGAAAAAAAGACATGGTTTCTTTTCACTGCATGTGGCAATTTGCTGAATAATGCATCATTTTGTCAACTATTATATAGCAATCAATAAAATGCCCTTTGGTGGTACCTGCACACAGGAGACAAGAATGAAGATTGTTATGGAAACAGGCTTGAAACTTGCTTGAAATAAAAATCCCAGTTCTATACTTGTGATTTTGGAGGCCTGGGTTGTTTTTCTTTTCGTTCTAGAATAGCTGTAATTCATCTTGTTCAATTTGAGTGATATTCATCATGTTTTCAAGGCTGGTATGAAGCCCTTTGCCTCCAAACCTCCAAGGAGATGTACCAAGAAAGTATACTTGTTGTTATGGTCGTCATCTAGACTTTCCAAAGTCTGCCCTAGAATTCAGATGGGGAGTTAGTAAAAAATAAAAATTAGAGCTTATAGTTGGGGGGGGGGGGGTGCTTTTGGTCCTTGGTTTTGATGTGTAAACACATATTTGCGCCAAGTCTGTTTTCCCTTTTCTGATCGTATTCCTCAAACACTTAAGCAATCAAGCTTTACTGGCTCATGTTTGTAGCAAATAAATTTCAAGGATGGATAGATGAATGTCTTTTGAAAATGAACTGTAAACCTGCACAAGGAAGTAATCGTGCTAGACTTTCAAATTATGTAAGTTTAAAACAAAACTGAAGTTATTATTAGTTTCATTGTCTAGATCTTAAAAAATATATATTTTTGTTCCCCAGCTACATTTAAAATCCAAATATTCTGAAGATTTTGCTTAAAAGTTAGACTCTATGTAACCATTGTGTGATATATTGGAAAACAGGTGAACAACATTTTGTATTTTGAAACGTAAGATTGGTTACTCTCTTAATCATGCCAATGCTTTTCTTTTTTTACAGGCTCTTGATAAAATGATGGCCATTTACCAGCTCAGGATAACGCTCGTACGACTCTGCAGACCGTATTTACAGCCAGAATGTTATGATAAAGAACACTGCTTGCAGGTTCTACCTTCTGAAGAGATTTAAACCCCTACCAACATGTCTAATCCTTCCATGTTTCCAGATCTGCAAGCTTCCAAGCAGCAACCTTCATCAGTACAGGGAAGTTAAAGCATGTAAGTCAAGTCAAGGAACCTGCCTTTGCATGCTGTAGGTATGGGTATTAAAGTTCCTGGGAAGGTACATGTTAGTTTCTTACTTGCTTGCAAAAATAATTTTAGTAATAAGCAAAGTTGCATTATTCTTTTTCATGGAAGCAGACATGTAATCCCTTGTTAGCACCTGTATAAATTCTAGCGTCCGAGTAGGTACGGACGAAATAGTCAATCTATTTTTTCTACCATGTTCCAGTCCTCTTATAAAAAAGTCTGCTTGGATTGGCAAAACAGTTTGTTACCTAAAAGCTGACCTTAAAAAAAAATTAATTCCATACAAGTAGCCGTGGTAAAGAAACATATTTATTGTTCCAAGCTCTGATGGCTTACTTTATGAATCAATTAAACATATTATTAAACAATCACCCAAATTCTTTAAGTTTGAAACAGTCTAGAGTTTTAAATTGTCATAAGATTTCATCAAAATAAGGGCTACTGTATCCTTCCCACTTTTGTTACACCTCTAAGACTGCTGTTTAAGGCAATCTCTGTATGGTAAATGCTGACCAAATACAGCATAAGTACTTGACTGAGATGGCTACTATTTCTTACAGTTAAGATGGCAACAAGGGATAATTTGAATACGATCTGTAATAATAACAAAGAACTTCAAGTTTCAAACCTCCTTAAGAAAAGTGGACTTGATTTCTCAAGGAAAATATATGTATGTTCCTTAGTCAAGGTAATATAAAACACAATAATTAATCCTCTCACTAGACAACAGTTACTGGTCTTTTTATTTGCCTTACTGTATACAGGAACTCATGCAAAACTGAAATAGTGAGGTGGGTACGTTGTTCAGGAGCTCTTAGATCTAAAATTTGAGCTTAGGCCACAAGATCATGTGTACAGAAACAATACTGATTCTTTGATGCATTGTGGCCAACAAGTTAAAAATTTGCATAGGAAATAGTTAAATCCCACAAAAGATACTGGTTCCATTTCTTAATTCCATTATGTCTTTATACTTTTTACTGATAACTTACTTTTATTTGAAAACAGAAAAAAAAAAAGAGCTGAACCTTGGTTAAAATTGCTTCATTTTGAATAAACTGAAAAAGCACTGGAGTCTGGCTTAGCAGACTGAAAGATTTTTTTTTTCCTTTACCATGTTTATGACACTGATAAGAACTTGTTTCTAATTATTCATGGCAATAAATCTTTTTCTTGCTGCTCACAAGGTTCATCGTTCTAAACATGAGCACCATAAAAGTGCTAGCAAACCCACCATATTAGCATAATCTTAGTTTTCAGTGTTAAATCCTAGAAACAAAAAGGGCATATGTAAAAGTTCTCTCTATGTGTGTAGATGTGTTTGCAATTATTCATTACAGGCTGGAACAAAAGTCTGGATTTGAATTCCAGTTCCAGACCTAGAGCAGAATGAATAGCACAAGCTGATGGCTAAAATTGTTTTTTATCCTTGCTGCTTGTTGTTCCTACTACTTTTGTGACAGTAGCAAAAAGCCTTTGCTAGGATCAATAGACTATAATAGTCTTCACTAGTCACACAGGAAAGTTGGCTCCATGCTTAGAAGAACTTTGTCTTTATTTACATTTCTGCCAGTGTTGCTGTGTGTCACTGCTGTGAGAGGTCCATGGATGACAGCAGCGCAGGCTTAGCTGTACTCTTACAGTGTCTTTGTGCATGCTGCTCCAAAATCCCAGGTTTTCAGAAGGGTGATGGAAGGTAATTTGCATCCGCCTGAACGACTACTGTGATTTTAATAGTGAGTTACTGAGGAAGGAAATGGGGAGGGGGGGAAAAGCAGATTGTTTGGTTTAGTAACATGTTACAGGTTACATTAAAAAATAGAAAATAGGACTATACTTAATTCAGGACAAAGTGACAATTTCTGTGAACACCCAGTTTGCAGGAAGTTAAATGCTTACCTCAAAACAGCTTGCTGTGTTCAAAGGGCATCTGATATCCTGTTTACATATTCTCTATCAAAATACTCCAACTATTACGTTTGGCTTAGGGCCTAGAAAATTGTTATTGATTTCTCCTGAAAAGCGATAAGAGTTTTGGTTGAAGAAAAGTTTGATGATATTGCACATCTCTCAATCTTGTTTCAACTCCTGTTTTCTACTTCAAAAGGCAGATACAATAGTTAACCATTTTGTCAAATACTGGATTTAGAACTCTAGCCTTTCCATTGTATTTGTGTCTCCAAAGATCTGTATGCTACATTTGCACCTCGTGTATTGCAAAGAACAAGCAGTTTCACCCATCTTTTGGTATCCTCTGGTACAGAGGGCACGTTGGGGCAGGCAGGGAAGGGACACTGCCCTGTGAAATTACAGTGTGCTTTTTGCATGTTGTTCCAAAGGGATAATAACAATCTTCCTGCGAGCTGGGGGGAAGGAAAAAAGGTTGTAGAATAAAATAGTTTGGGTGAGTACCAGATAGTGAGGTTGTGTGCCTCCATCTGGAATTCTAGCTGCAGATGCAGTCTCAGAAAATAGTTCCCAAATTAGTAATGGAAACATTAAGTTGTCTCATTATTATCAGACATGTGGCTCATAAAACATGGCTGAAGTATTTGGTCTAATGATACACAAAGCAAGAAAACATGTAATCTAAAAGAGAAGAAATAAACTGTATGGAGGAATTTGCAGTTGGGTAGAAATGATGAATTTGGAAGAAAAAAAAAAAAAAAAGGGATAAACACAAGGGCAGTAGGAATGAGAATTCTGTGTTTATACAGATCTGACCATGGGAGATAAAAATGTGAAAAAGGAGACTAGCACTGTTCTGTTTCATTAGGAAAGAAGAATGCAAATAGACTGTTACCAGTACATGAACAACAAAGTTGTCAGACAAGTGCTGCGACTCTCTGCTTATGTTCACATATATACAAGGCACTTGAAGCCAAGAAACAGAAGAGGTGATGGATACTTGTGTAAGCTTTTTCTGAGCCACTTTAGGCCTTGGTGGCCATGAAGCAAAAGAAAAGCACTGAATATATTTAATGAGGATATTAGATTTGCAGTAATTTTTTGTGCACATGTAGCAGCAATACAGTAAGCAACTTTCAAAAACATTTCTGTCTGTAAATGTACATTTTTTTTTTTTTTTTTTGAAGAGGAATAGTCTATTAGTCTTGGTGTAGTTAGAGAAAATCAGATAGCAGTTTGAGCATAAAGGTTAGGTCTTGTTCAGTTACAATCTTAAACTCTTCTGGCTGGGATCACACTACCCTTACAAAGCACAATTATGTCTCGAATGCCTGATCTCTTTTCTCCCTTTCATGTGGTTGTTACAAGTGATCACACTTTATATATTTTTCTAGAAATGTACTTGAATTCTGAGAAGAAACAGTAGAAAGGCTGGAAATTCTATACTGAACTTCTAATCTTGGTCCTTACTGTGAAGTCAGACCTTGCAGTGTCAGTTGAAAATGTCAACGTAAGTAGAAGTGCTTTCGCTGCACCCTACTTTTATTCCTGCCTTATCCTTGGTTGCCTTTCCTCTTTCTCCACTGTTGGTAGTTTTCCAAAGAGGACAGCATCTGAGTTCTGTCCATGCAAACACCTTTCCGTACAGTTATGTGTGAGAAACTCCACGGAAAGCAAGATTAGCATTTGCAAGAGTCCAAATGGGAATGAAGTTGCAGAATAGGCTTCCTCCTCTCCATAGTCTCCATAGACCAGAACTTCAATTCTTCTTCTTGTGGAGTTTAAAAAAAAGGCCTTTTGCCCTTTTCCAGTGAGAGGCAGTATCTGCTGTTTCGCTCCACCATGGGTTCCTTGGCTGGAGGCTCTGGTGTTGTGGTAACTTTCTGCAGGCCACCACCATCCCTTCTTTGAAGATGGGCACCACTTTATCACCACCATTTACAAGCCAGTAGGTTTGTGCGTTCCTCCCCTGATATCTTATACAAGGAGGTGGTCTTTTATCTGTATTTTTAAAGGAAATACATCTCTCAGCTCAGAATCATTTCTCCTCAGGGACATTAGCGAGTGATTCTTTTCAATGGACCAGCTATTCTGTTGAGTTGTGTCCTAGAAAAGCCAGATCACTGCTAAAGTCCAACTGCCTGATTTCAAGTGCCAGATTAGCTCCTGAGACCTTCCATAATAATTTCAAGCATTGTTGGCTTAATTGCTGCCATTACTACCCACTTTATTAGTATAAAAAAGGGAGAATGGGACACCTTTCTCTTTGCTTTTAATGGAGTAAGCTGTGCAAATAAGGAGGCATGCATATAATTCGAAGTGACTGCTGAAGAATGTAAATATTAATTATTCTGTTCTGTCATGTTTGCTGGGTGTGCCTCTTGCAGAGGAACATAATAAATGACTGGCTGCGGACAGGCTTTTGTGACAGTGACCAAGAATGTGGGGGATGCCCCACTATCCTGCTGATATCTGAAGTGGTTTCCATGGCAGTAGTCAAAATAGGAGACGGTGTCCTGGTGAGGTTGGCATACGAGACAGTTTCTATGGTTTTGGCTAAAAAAAGCACCTAGTTTTACTTGGGTGTCTGTGGTGGTTTTGAGAGGTGCTGATGAAGACATGGTCAAGACAGGCAGGTGGCTTGGTCACTTAGGCTCTTTCTACCAGTAGGACTTAAGAGCCGGTTGAGGGTGTACAACACAGAGGAGGCCCAGAGCAGTTGGCTGTACTCGGGTCAAGAGATCGAAGGCTTTTGTGGCATCACTTTCTGTGGTGAGGTGGAGCCGGTGCTCGGGCCTGGTTTGCGGGTGGGCTGTGCCAGGGCCCAAGCCGGGCTGCCCCATACTTCACGAGAACAGAGGTGCTTTCTGCGGGAATGGCAGTGTAGGGTGCGATGGCGATCTGGGCCGTTAGGTGCGGGGTTCTTACAAGCCCAAGGCAGGGGGGGCTTGAACCTCACTCTCCATCGGTGCAGGTTGGCGAGGGGCGCCTTGGGCGGGCTGAGGCGCGGGCTAGAAGAGAAGGCGGCGCTCAGGGCAAGCAGGGTCGCGACTGCGCTAAGGCGGGGTGTGGAGCCGGGGAGGGGGGCGGCGGCAGCGGGGCCCGGGTCCGCCAGCGGGGCGGGCGCGCCGAGCGAGCTGCCCGCCGCCATCCTTCCCCTGAGGGGAGGCTGGGGCGGGGGCGGGGCCGGGCGGCGAGGAAGCGGGCGGGAGCCAATGGGGAGCGGCGGGCGCTGAGGAGGAGAGCGCCGGCCAATGGGAGGCGGCGGCCGCGGTGCGCGCGGGCCCCGGGGGGGGTGGTGGTGGTGGTGGGGGGGAGGTCGAAGGAGGGCGCGGCGCCGGCCAATGGGAGGTGGGCGGGCGGGGAGGGCGCGGCTGTGGGCCAATGGGGGCGCGGCGCGCGGCGCGCGCGCAGCCGGGGGCGGGGCGGGAGCGCTGCGCGCCGCCGGTAGGGGGCAGGGGCGCGGGCCCCGCCCCTTCCTCGCCGCAGTGAGTAGTGAGCGGCGGCCATGTTGTGCGGGGGGGGAGGGGAGGAAGGAGTTGAGAGGAGACGGGGGAGACTCTCTCACACACACGGCACAAGATGGCCGGGGAAGCAGCCGCAGCTGCGGCCGGGCTCCCGGGCGCTTTCCCCGCCGCTCGGAGCGGGGAGGCCCGGCGAGCGCCCTGGGTGCTGGTCTTAGGGGCCAAGTCGGGCCCGGCACTCTGGGGGTTCCGGGGCGACGGAGGGCGGCGAGCCGGGCTGCCGTGCGGGGCTGCCGACGGGCGGAGGGCAATGGCGCCGGGCTCCGGAGCTCTGCCCGCGCCTCTGCCTCGCCGAGCGGGCGCGGGGCCGTCCCTCGCCGCGGGCAGGGCGAGGAGGGGAGCAGCGCCCCGTTCTCAGGGCCCCCGTTGCCTGCCGGCGGGCTGCTCTTTGCCGGGTAAGTGCCTGAGTCTCCTCGCTTCTCATTGTCCTTTGTCCTTGGGAGGAAAAACAAAATGTCCTTGGAGCCGGGAGGGGGAGGGGGCTCCTGCCTTTCCCTGCCCCCCTTCGCCTCTCCCTGAGGGTAGCTTCGGGGACCCCCGTCCGTCTCCGTGACCCCGTTTGGGTGAGGGGGGACCCACGTAGTTTGGGGAGGGAGCGGCTGGGGAAGGGGGGTGCCGCAGCTCGGCGGCCGCCCCGGTGACACCCGTCGGCTCCCGGGCTGCGGAGCGCTCCCCCTCCCCCCTGCTCCTGCAGCAGCGAGGGGGCTCCGCACACCCCGGCCCCCAATGCAGCACCGGGGATGGGGGGCAGCTGCAGACGGGTTCCCCAGCGCAGCAGTGATGGGGAGGGGGGGGCTGCAGACCTGTTCCCCTCCAGTGCAGCAGGGAAAGGGGGCATCTGCAAACCAGCTTATAACTCCAATGCAGCAGTAAGGGGGGGGGGGGGGGGGGGGGGTGGAGAGAGGTGAAGCCTGTACTACATCATCAGTTAAATGTTTAGCCCCAAGCCCGTATCTGTCTAAAGAGCATTTGTTGCCCGTTGCTGCTCAGAAGAGGATATGTTTTCGTAGTTTGTAAGAACAAAGACGCCATGTCCTTTTCTCTTAAAAATAAAACTTGGTGTTTTTTTTGTGGGGTGTTGGCTTTTAACTCTTTCTAAACCAGCAAGAAAAAACAGGCTGCGGATGAGACACCTCAGGACTTTACTGAAACAATAGATAGAAATTTACTTCACTTGAAAAGCAGCAGTTCACGTGCAGAACTTTAAAGAAAACTCTTAAGAATTACGGGCAATATGATTTTGCAATTAAAACAGCAATACAAAAACTTACAAGCTTAAAAAAACCCCAAAGCTCGGTCACGCCAAGTCTACAGTTTAAAGTTGGTAAAATACTACAGTTGTGATTTAGATGACACTACGAGAAGAAAAGGTAGTTACTTTAAATATGAATTACACGATAAGAAAACGAATGGGTTTGTGACATTAAAAGCTTTTAAAAAGCATTTGTTGGGTAAGTTTTTTAGCATTCAGTTTATGCATTTTTCAGGGAGCTCGCAGTCATTTCTGTTTACGTAGCATTTTTATCGTTGTTTCGATTGTTAATAATTTAGAAGTTGTACAACACCTATTGCAAGACTTTCTAAAAACGCAAGTTTAAATGGAATGCCTGATGTTTGTTTTGCGTTGGCTCGCATTCAGCAATTACCGATTTAAGGGTAAAATTGTAATTCCAAATGTATAAAAAGTCACTGTAATAGAGCAAGAGGTAAATATTAAGAACTTTAGTTTTAATTGGATATTGTATATAGCCACATTTGTTGGATTTATCTGGTGGACACTTGTACAGGATTATAAAACTCCGTAAAGGTTTTAAATATTACAGTTGGAGGTAAATCTACATTTTTCGGTACTTCCACTGCAAATACGAATCCATCATTACAACAATGAAAGTTGGCTTTTTTTTAGATATATAAATACAAGTTGCAGCAACCATTGGACTTCTGTCACCTTTATGCAGAGTGTTCGGTATCTTTATTTTAGATTTGGATTATGGTGGTTTTATAACCCCAGCAACAGTTCTGCAGTGTAGAACACGTTCTGACATACCCACTTTGCTGAAAAGAAAGTTCTAGCTTTAGGTGGGTGTCTGCTGTATTTTTCCTTTTTTTTTTTTTTTTTTTTTTTTTTTTAAATATTTTAGGGGATAATTTTTTAAGTAGCTTTGAGTTGTTTCTTTCACCTACTGAAAATAAATTGCTCTTAATTCTTAGCATATCTTATTTAAGGGTTCTGCATTTTTGTAGGATTTTAAATTTATATTTAGATATCTTTTAATGTAATATAAATTGTTTTTTAAATTTCCCACGTATTTACAGAATGATTCCGGACTTCTAGAGTATGAAATAGTGGTGATAAATATAACTGCTGCAAAATAAAATGTTAAGCCTTTTCACAAAAGGCGAGAAAAGTTGGCTAGAGATAGTGCAAATATGGTGTTCCTTGTGTTAAAGAGCATATTTGGGATCTGATTAAAGGTTAAAGAAGCTGAAGGCTTTAAAACTGTATTCTGAAGGGCAAAAAATATCTTTTTTGTGGGAGATCAAGGAACTTACGACTTCAAATTCAGAGAAGCTGATAGCAGAGGCCATTTTAAAATTACTTTGCTATCACTAGAGGTTTTATTTAATTTTGCATAGCCTACTTCTAAATGTGAAAAAAAGTACAAGGGTTGAGAGAGATTGTGTGACAAATTACTCTTAAAGTCTTAAATTGGCTAGACATTTGATCTTTAAGTCATTCAAAATTAAAGTCATGGGAGACAGAAGAGCAGATTGCAGTTATTAATGCAAAAATATAGATCATGCATGTTGTATGTCAGTTACTCTTCATCTCGGTGTTTTTCTTCAGCCAAGTATGTACAGCTACCCGTACTTTTATTTTTAGAGTTGAGTTCTAAAGATACAGTTACTGCTATCATAAGTTTCTCCTAACTTAATAATTACCTAAAGATCGATACATTTCAAACATCTGACTTGTTCTGCTTTTCTAAAGCAAAATGCTGAAAATTTCCATACTTTTTTTTTTTTTAGGTAGAATTCCATGAACAATACGTTATTTCCTGACTGGCTTCCAGAAGAATCGTTCATACCTTACTTCTTAGGTAAGAGTGGTTATAGCTTGTGGTAGTATGCTCATTTCCTTGTTATTTTTTTGATCTTGGGATTTGCCTTTTTGCTGCTGTGCAGACGGGAAGCAAAAATACCTAATTCTTAAATTGGGACACATTTTATAAATTCTCTGGACTTTCTAAAAGCCTTTTTTTGCAGATACGTGTAGACTGTCTCAATGTGATTTTTATGCTGCTACTTCTGTATAAATTTTAGTTTACTGAGGCTGTTAAGTGGATTGGTATTTTTTTTATATATGTATACACATACATACGCATTGTATTTGGTGGAAAATTGAAAAATTTTCATATAAACCTAGTTCACTATGTCCCATTTCACCAGTGAAAATGTGCATTGAACTTTATTTGTTCTTTGCACATAATGAGTTTGTAGCATTAACGCTTAGGGATGTTGTAGAATTTGTATATGACAGTAATAACTATAGGCTTCAGGTATTCAGAGAGAGAGAGATTTCTGGGGCCTGTTCCTCGCTTTTGGAGACATGAATGCTAATGCTTGGCAAGGATAGAATATTACATTTTTGTACTGCATGTAAAATCTCTACTTCTGTTTTCAGACAAACCTGGTTTTGCTTTTTTTTCTTTAAAGGCTGCTTCTGGATATTCTTTCCAAAGATTGAGATGGCTGATTGGGTAATCCTCGAGCAAAGTTCTGTACTGTGCATACTAGGTATGTTATACTGTGTTGTGGTTTGTGTTGGTGTGTTTTTTTTTTTTTTTAATGACCCCGGAAGTTGTGTTTTGTTTTGTGAGGTTTTGGTTATTTTGTTTTTTGTTTTAAAGAAATAAACACTGAACATTTGAGCTACAATGTTTTACCTTGTTGAATTTTCTTTCAAGTTTTAGTGCATTTGAAAACTGGCAGTACATACTAAATATAGTAATGTTAATGTCTGCTTACCCATCTTCTAAGATTTTTATGGTCATTCATAACTAAGACTTTTTTTAAGAATCTGAAATGACCATGTCAACATGTTGTAAAATAAAGCTGTGCTTATGAGGATTGCCATCTCTACTAAGGACATTCAGTCTAATCAAACTTCAGAAACACGTTTATTTCAGTTCAAGGTATTGATTCATTAGCAAGTGACACTCATAAGCTTTTCCTTTCCAACAAATTGTTTTTATACAACAAACATGGAAATTCTCTTTTCAGTGTAAATTTTACTTGAAAAGACTAAGCCTGTACACAGTCGGTAGGAAGTATCTTGCTCTTTCTTGCAGTATAAACAAATCAGCTTTGTAATGTTTGATTTGTTTTGTTTTCTTCTTTAAGGCTCTGCATTTAGAGACAGAGTAACGTGTTATATTTGAGTCATGGTTTCACCACTGTGTAATTAACAGTTGGGGATCTTGTTTGCTTGTCTTAACTAGTTCGTTTTCACAGCTTACCATGTTGTTATACTTCAGTATATATTCAGGACCTCAAAGCGTAAGGCGCCTTCATGAAGATGTGTGTGTCAGGATTCTCAAAAATACTCTTTATAATCTGCTTTTAAAAATTATATAATTTATCATGATAACTTCATGCAGATCTTGTGAACCCTACCTGAGTGCAGCTGTTCTCTTTGACTTGGATGAAGGCTTTAGCCTGTTCATATAAGAAGTCATATACCAAATTAAGCTTTTTAAAAATGTCTCTCTAGGTTGTAGTAAACCTTTATTTGCAGTAAGTCACTGCTAATACACAAAGCAGAATTCAAATAATATTTATAAATAACAAACATGTACCATACACCATGAATGTCCTGCAACAAAACACCGCTAACGGACAAGGCTGTTAGTTATGCTCCAGAACTTCATTGTATAGCTGTCTGATGGGAAGTTTGAGAATTATAAGTTTGTGTTAGAGATGATCTGGTATCTTGAGAAGAACAGCAGAACATACTTGAAATACCACATGAATTTTCAATTTAGTGGGTCAAAATCATCAGATATTTCACAGTCTAATACGATAAAGGCAAGACTAGCCTGATTCACATAAAAGTCTGATGGTAATGAAGGGACTGAACTTGTTAAACTGAAGACTTATATTCCTAATGTTAAATCCTTAAATGTCTAAAGCTGCAACTTTTGACTGACCTGCTCTTAAAAAAAAAAGTAAATTAAAAAATACAGTGCTCAAGAGCAGAGTCATCTTGACTGACCTGAGTGTTTGAAGATGAATACGAAATTGAGGACTTTTATCTTAATGGTCTTATATATTTCCTGTATTGTCATGATGCTGTTTGTGCTGAGTAGATATTATAATAAAAACAGTTTTAACTGTCCCTTGTTACTTTTGTGAGCTCTTTGGAGCTGCCTTTTCTTGTAAGAATGACATGTTTTTATCTAGTAAATGGCAGCTTGATACTTAGGTTAGGTAGACCTTAGTAGGCTAGATGCATACCGCTGGGGACTTGAGGAAAGATTTAAGTTCATGACCACCCTACAGCATACTAATGAGGATTGGCGAGGTCAGAAGAATGCTCTCTGGTTAAGTCTTCATAACTTTTTTGGTGGAGGAAGCTGTTCCTCTGTGGTGATGCAAAGCCATATTAAGTATTCTCGTAGAATTAATTTGTAGCATTGGCAGTTTATATGGAAAAACACTTTGTGTCGTGATACATACTGTCTTTGCTGAAATAGTTCCTTAATATATCCTGAGAAAGACTCTGATGTCAGGTAGATAGCTTTAGAGAGTATTACTTCACCTCATGATGTAAAAGGAGATACACTTTCCTGATTCTTGGTGCAAGCGGTGCCGGTCTTTTGATGGAGGAGTCATGAACCTGTGGCGCAAGTTGTGTTTTATATGGCATAGGCCATACTGTACTTACAACGTATTCTAGAATAAATATAAAAATAAGCCACAAATATAAGACTACCTAAGAAAAAGTAAATCCATTTTTATTTTTAAATAGCGGATGGATTTTTTAATCACACAGGGACTGCAACACTTACTGCGAGTAGTCTGATGAAAAGAATTTTAGTTTGACATTTATTAAATAAATTTAATGTTAAATAGGAGATACAGGTGTTAATCTGAAAGTCTAATTTTTTTCAGCTGAAACTTGTATTTACTTGCTGTAGGTCATGGCTCTTGGCACAAAGCCTTCAGCTTTTCTGATGTATTCTATAGTTTGGGAGTGAATGTGTTTTGGATATTAAAATTCAAGAACTCAGAATACAGTGGTATATTTTACAATGGTGTAAAAATGATCATTTGTGTGATCATACGAATGAAATGTAATATTCTATTAACATCTTGGTGCTGTTTCTACAAAGCTCATTCTTTGGTTTATCTGTTCACTTCAGAATAGAGAAGTCTTACTAAGTGACACCACACTGACAAATACTAGATTCCTTAACAAAATTTTGCTGAGGTTAGAAGAACATGCTCTGATCGAGCCTTAGTAACTTTTTCAGTAGAGGAAGCTGTTCCTCTGGTGATACAAAGTCATATTAAGTACCCCCAGTAAAATTTCTGTGAAATTACTGTAACTGGATTCTAACTCTAGAATTAAAGAAAACAGGATTGAACTTGGATGTAGATGATATATGTTTAGCTGCGCTGTAAATGAATAAAAGTGACTGAGAGCTGTAAGTTGAGAATCTTTCAGTCATAAACTTTACCTAGTCTTCATATATTAAATCATAGTTTCTAAGTGGCTTTTTTTTGAGTGAAATGGTACATGTAGGACAGAAGATTTAAAGGTCTTAAAGAAACCTCTTTACCTAGTTCATTTCTTTATGCTTTGCATGACTGATAGGTGCCTCTTGGATGATCGAAGTCCAGGAACCATATTGTGTTCCTTCTACAAAGTGGCCATCCACCATTTTAGAAGTACTTTGGTTTTGTTCTTCCATTTAATAGCAGCTGTTGGATCACATCTAAATACATGTTTTAAACCTCTAAATTTCATGTTCATTTGGATATTCTATATATTTGTGCCACTTTACCACTGTAATTTTTTTACAATTTCCCCTTTCTAAAGGGATCCATTCCCATATTAATAATTTAAAGTAAATTATATCAACAAAGAAATTACAGTTCTGTCATCACAGCTTTCTTTCTGCGGTAGCTCTCAATTTGAAGGGGAGAATTTAGAAGATGGTAAAAAATTATACACAGTATGTTATCACTGAATAGGTTCATTAATTTTTTATGTATTTATGGCTGTATTACAATATAAGTAAATTCTGAGAGATCATGAGAAAAGGAGTTTACTTGTATGTGTTAGGTGAATAGCTTGTATGGTTCCAGATAGCGGATGACTTCATGCAGTTGAAAATTAAAGTATAAAAAGGGGGGTTCATGAGTTGTTTTAGAATTTTAGGTCTTATTTTAATCTTACTACCTCTGTTTAAGGTGACTTTGATTAAATGTTTGTTGATGTGAACTGCCAATAAGCATTTTCAAAGTTGAATTTTCAAATTTAAGCCTTGCCCATATGCAGATAACTTTGAGAGATAAAGCAGATAACCTATTACATGTTAGTGTGTTAAATAATTCTACTGCATCTAGCTGATACAACCTCTCAGTAAAATGAGTATTCTATTTATGTTTGTGAAGGACAGATCAGTCAGTTTAGGCATAGTTCTACTTGATGCCTGATTGATTTTTTTCAAAAATTAAAAAAAAAAAAAGTAGTTGTTGCTTTGTTTCTCAAGGGATTTGTGTACAAGATTGTCTGAATTTCTTGGGTGGTTTGCACAGGTTCTTTGATAACAGGTTGCCTAGCGATACTTCAAATTTTTTATAAAAATGTCTTGTACTCTGTGCTGTGATTTGCTGAAAATGGTTTGGGTTTCTTTTATGTGGAGGATAGGGCTTTTTTTAAATTTATTTTATTTTATTTTAATTCAAGTGTTTAATATATCATTTTCCCTACAGATGTGTTGAGGAATTGGTTTACTCACTGTAAGCAAAATAACTGCTCTTGGTTGAAGCACTGGTAAGTTGTTATCCCTAATAACATTTACTTTTTAGCTTTAAAACACCCCCAACAAGCACACATGACTGTTGTTTAACTTGCTAAGGTTTTTGGTTGAATACATCCTGAAATTCCTTAAAGTGTGTCTGTGTGCGTATGTGTGTTTCTAGAAGGCTCAGTTAGAAGGACCACAAGATCATTCTTGGGCTCGTAGGAAATGAAGCTATACTTGGATAGTATTCTCAACCTGTCTTGCTGGAGGATAGTTTTCATATCTAGCTGTAGTTCTTTGGTCTTCTGCTTCTGTGATTTGACTCCATGTTTCATTGAGAACTATTAATTTTCTTATTCAGAAAGGTTTGGTACACAAATGTCTGTCTCTACAGAGAAGTACTCCACACAATTTGGATAATGGTATGGAAAGTATGGCAAGAAGAACTTGTCTTACAAGCATCTTGTGTTCTTTTACGCTTCTGTCAGGATGAGTGAAAGTCTTTGAGCGGAGAGTAACTGTCTTCTGTTCTATGATTGTTCTGTTTCTGTTCTTCATAAAGTTTCAGCTTTGCAGAAAATGATATGTAATGCTGATACAGTTTTCTGTATTGAACTGCTAGCTGATAGACTTAATTTAGGAATCCTTTCTCATGTAGTCAAAATGCAAAATTGGCAGGCTTGAGTAGAGAAATTAATTCAGTTCTATACCAGATAAATAGGGGGTTAGGATTTACTTCAGCTTCCTTAACTAAAAGCAATTTGGCCTTGACCTTTTGCTGTCTGGCACATTATGTGACACTCTTGGGAGTTGTGTCTGGAAAGACCCAAGTCCCTTTGTGTTCCTCTCTACTTAAAATTCAGATTCCTTGATTCTACATTTTTAATTAGGGCATCCATTGCATTTTGTGCACATGAATTAACTTTTTTTTTTTTTTGCAGTAGGAAGCTCTATTCCTGTAGAACTATGCTTTGGAATATATGCTTTTCTTTGAGACAGTTTCTTGGAGACAGTTCTTTCATCATGACATGCTACCTGATTGAGTAATGCCTTCCTTAGACTGCAGGCAGCTTAAGAAAATGTTCCAAGATGCAAATGCTCTCTCATTTCGGTGGATAGATAGTGATTTTTAGCTGTCCAATGGCTTTGTATGTTAGCAGAGACCTTCAGCAGACATGCTTGTACAAACTGCCATCTATGCTGCCTCAGGTGCTAGAAAAGCAGCTGCTCCCTGCTTGTACTCCAAAGTCTCATGCTTTCTTCCAGTCTACTCACGTGATGTGGAGACTAATGTAGAGTTCTTTTGAAAGGAAAAAGGACTATGTGGGGTGTAGGGTGCAAGCCTTGCTAGGCCGTGTTATTGTGGCCTTGTGCTCCTTTTAGATACACTTTATTTTGAACCGATTTTATCACTGAGTTTTCAGTCCTGAAGGAAAACGGTAGAATTCACGAAGTTTGAGGAATTCAGTTCTTACTGTGCATATGTGTGCTCAACTTTGATGATCTTTGATTAGTGCTTCATCTCTTCCACTGCTGTGTTCTGTAAGTTTTATTTCTTTGTTCTTTCAGGAGTCTTAAGCTATTTTTCACACTGCAGGTATGTGTAGAACAGTGTATTTCTTGGTATATTAGAACTGAATGATACTCCCTCCAACTGTTCCTCAAGTCTCTTCCTATGATGTCCATTGTTGCCTTATTTTCCCTAATCACCTGCTATAATCTTAAAGCATGTGACTCGTTCCATTTTTACATTACTCTTCATCTGTTTCCTACATATTTCTATGTACATTTTTTCTGTTTTCTTTCATTGAGTTATAAATAAACTGTTGTCAGATCTGGTTTCTTGAGCAGGAATTTAGCTTTTCAGTTACACACAGAGTAGTTCTTCCATCCTTTTCTGTTTTATAGTCCTTACCTAAAGGAAGGGGTGAATGTGAAACTCTTAACTGACTTAGAAACAGCTGCCATCAAAAGAAGTTGCTTCAAAATGCATTTGTAAAAACATCCAAATGTATGGATCTTGAAAAATCTAGTATTATCTTCTTTGGTTAATATAGACTGTTTAGTTGAAGTACTGGTTATTTTTTTTTTTTTTTTTTAGTAGAAGAGGGAAAATACTTGAAAACACCAGAAGCTTTATTGAAGTTGACATACTTTGCTTAATGCAATAAAATTTATTATTTAAAAATTATTCCTTCAAAAGAGTGCATCTGTGAATCTGGTCACATCTTACCTGAAATTAATCTCTAAATCTCAAAAACCTGGCAAACAGCCTTTCTTAGCTAAAAGTACTTGATCCTACATGTGTTGCTTTTACTGCTGTTCTTACTGAAGGTCTGATAGGGGTAAAAGCAGACTTAGGGCTGTCCAGAGTATTTAGTTTCTTTAAAAGATTGGACAGAACATCATTATAGACTTTAGGTGTCAATAAAGGGAACATCTGCTTTTCCCTCTAGTGTAAAAGTTACCAGAGATGTGTCTTTGAGAATAAAATCTTGCTGTAATTAACTTTGAAGTGTAGAACTTCAGTTTTGATTTGCTCAGAACCTCATTCTGTCCATTCAGCTCCCTCTGTTGAAGTGAATTCCCTTTACTAGCAGTATGTCACCTTGGGTTTTAAGTTTAAGCCTCAGTGTGAGAGATTTCACTCTGGAAAATTTTATAAATGTATTGGTGTCTTACGCACTTGCACTGATGCATGGGTGTTTTACATGTTGTTATTGGCCTTCAGTCTTCTACTTAAGAAACTCCAGGATTCAGTTGATGTGAAATTGCTGCGGCCATGGTTTTGGCCATAAGGGTGTCTTGTTGCTGTGGTCTGTTAATGGGTTGAGCAACAAATAATTACAAAAAACTGAAGAGAAAAACTTTGTAAGCTCAGATGTTTCAAAACTTTGTCCTTAAATATTTAGGCATGGTTGTGAATTGTTTCTGTCTGTTGAGTGTCACTATGTTACCAGTGATTTCAAGGAAACATGGAAAGTATAACATGGCTACCCAGGTTCCTTATCACAACCAAAATACTGTATTTGGAAATAAATACAGTAAGTAGTAGATAATAGAAGCTTGAAAAATGAGACGATGCTTAATTGATGTTACAGAAGAAATGAAATATGTGATCTAGCAAAAAAATTCAGCTCTTCAATGCCTACCTAAAGAGTAGGATCAGTGCATATGTCTTGATGGAGAAGAAGTATATTTTGCAACATTATTGAAACTTCTTAGTAAAATGTGCCTTAATTCATAAGTAAACAAATGCTGTGAAATCTTTTAAAGGAAATGTATATTTCACATGAAAAATCATACAGATGGCTGTTAATATTTTGGCCATTACTGTGGCATCTTTTTGATGTATGAATAACTTCTGGAACAAGGGCTGTTGTAGCATGTTCTTAATTATTATATATCATCAGTTCCGTTTACTGCTAATTATTTTACAAGGTCAAGAGAAGAGTTTAAAATGAATGTGGCAGGGTTACTTGCGAAGTTTTTGGTACAACCAAATGTAGGTGAACCTTGTAGGGAAACTTGCCCTTAAATTCCTTTTGGCAGATCTCATTAGTGTCTTCAGGCAGAAGGCTAACCCAGCTGAAAAGGGCCTTTCAAGGTTGACTAATAGGTGACTAAATTACATTTTTGAGAGGTGGGGAAAGGCTGATGCCAGTAATTAAATTTCCTTATGTTGAGCTTCTTACAATAACTATAAAAATTATTTTAATGGTCTTATTTATGGGGTTTACACTGTGCTTATGTTAGTACTTCTGAATATTTGATTGTGACAATAATGGACAACTTTGTGGTGGTTATTTTTCATGTTTTGGTACCTCGGTCAAGGCATTAGCATTAAAAATTATTCAAAGCTTTAATTTATCTTCAAATGCCTAACTGGATTTGAAATTAGGCTGTTATACCAGTAAAAACTAAAAAAAAAAAAAAACAAACCACCCCCAAAAACTGTTTATACAGTTTAGCGTGGGGGAAAAAAAAAATCTTTCAAAATATTTAATTCCTGTCTTAACTGAGGAAGATTTGAATTCTTGAAACAAAGAATTTCTGAAAACTTGAATGTTCAATTTCTGTTTCTGAAAATTAAGATCTTGTAGTTCAATACCATTACAACTCCACACTTTGTGCAATGTGATGTGAATTACCAGATCCTGTATTCTGCTTCTTGTGCTGTACTTATTTTCCATTGTATTTAAAACAAGGAGGTCTATAGATGAGTATAGGACAGGACATAGGGGCGGTTGTGAAAGTCAGTGAGGCTTGTTGCACTGGTTCCATTGCTGTTTGCTGTAACTGGTTATTTTGAAATGAGAGTGGGGGTACTGGAATGGTGAGGCAGAGACCACTAGATGGCTCCACTGATTTTTGCTGTACTGTGGGCAGTTTCTGCATCACTTAGGAGAATCTGCCCAGGATTATTAGGGAAACAACGTAGTGGTGGAGTTGGCTTTCAAACTAACATGAGGTTAAGGCTATACACATTCAAAAGAATAAATTGATGTTGGAGTGCAGCTAGTCAAAATCATGAAGACATTTTAAACCCCCGTTTTGTCTGTCAGTCTCTTCTACAGTTAGCATTGGTTTTAAAATGTTGTTCTTAGCACCTAGGAACTTCCTATGCTTGATTTTTGCATATTAGGAGGAGTAGTGAGGTTTTTTTAAGTACATGAGCTTATTTTTCATGGAAGAAAATGGAAAGCTGGGGATGTTCGTTTTGTAGAAGTCATTTGATCAGTTTGGTTTGTCACTCACCTATGGGCTTGGTTGCTGTTAGATGAAGAGTAAAGTTGGAATATGGGTCAAGAGTAGTATGGTGGCCTTGCTGAAGGCAGCTAGTGTAACTTGTTACCATTTTCCTCTGACTTCTGACATGTCCTTTCCCACCAGTAACTAAACCAGTCATTCTGTTTGTTTAAGTGTGTGTTTGCTGTTGCACTGCATGTCTTTCATGAGCTGGAAAACTGGGTTAAGATGGAATGTCTTGCCCCCAGTCACCATCTGTGTATAGGAAAACAGTTTTCATGCCTACTACATCGGTTTTGATGGATCTATTTGAAAGGAGGATGGACAATAGTTAAAAATTTTGGCTTATTATAATAAACTTGTTTCTCCACTAAGTAGTGTCAGCTTTAGTAGATGGGTCAGTCCAATAAAGATGGTTGCCAGAGCAAATATCTCGAATTTCCCACTATTGATTTCTCTAGTGTATTAACACTGTGGAGAAATTTCAAATGGAATTTATGGAGCCTGAAAGGGTTCTTGAACTTCTAATTGTTCCTCCCCTACTTCTTTATAGTTTTGGTTAAAGTTTATATTTTTGACTCTTAAACTGATGATTTGACATTGTTCATGCTAAAAGTAGATGTTCTAGAATGTGTAATATGGAATGAAGCATCAGTTACATGTTTATATTATCTTCAAGGTACAGTAGTTGAATGTCTTAGTTTAAAGATATGATCTGTATTCCAACAGCATTTTTCTTTTAATTTTCCATAAAGAATCCAATCAGATGAAGAGTGTCAAAAGGAGTCTACGAATGAGACACCAAGATGGCAGTTCCACTGTTGATTGAGAGGTTGAGGAAATGGACTAATGCATGAGTGCTGTGATATGTCTGTCCAAGAAAAGGATGTTAAAACATGGACTCTCGTGTTATTAAGCCAGAGAAGATCTGGGTTGTGATCATCCTATCAAAATGGACTTTGCACTTGAATTAATCAGGGGGCTGTATCAGTGACTATCCAATGATGGATCTGTTTGAGGAGTGGGTGGCAAAATTTTACTCTTGGGTTGTATATGCATAACAGGCAAATTCATTTGGTAAGAGATCTGTTGCTACCTTGCTACCCGTTTGGAGAAAATGTAATGTTTTTTTAAGTGACTTAATAAAAGGTTTTGGTTTCTTTCACACTTTGTGTTTGTCCTTTATGGCTGAATATTTAATTTTTTTTTTTATTGTGTTGATATTGAAGTGGGTTACATTTTGGGTTGATATTAAAGTGAGAACTACTTTAGCTGCTAAGCGCTTAAAGCAAGGTAAAATTTTGTCCTATACTTGATTTTAAAATGTGGTTTTCACTTGCAAATTATGTTCACTTTGCCATGACTTCCAATGATTTTTTTTTTTTTTTTTTTTTTACTGGTTCATTCAGGTGCTTAATGTTAGGGGTTTTTTCAGTACTTGGCCTATTGTCAGGGTCTTTCTGCTGAACTTTCTGAAGTTATTTTAAGATGGAATTGATACCGGTTGAAGGCTGGGCAAATATGATAATAAAGGAGTACTTGAATGTTTTGTGCAACTTTCCTAGGTATGCTTCTGTGGTTCTGTATGGGTACAGAAACTTTTCAACAGGTTTCCTGGACAACATGCTTCCTAAACAGTCTATTTGGTCTTAAAATTGTTCTGTACAAGTGTCCAATCTGTTTCATCGCCATTTAATGTAGACTTAGCTGTGTGAAACTGTATCATGTATTGATGAGAAATAATGGAGTTATTTTTGATATTGCTACAGATGATCTGTTAACCTTTACAAATGAATTTTTATATGGTTCTAATGTTCAGAAACCAATTTCCTTTCAAGTTTCTTGTGGATCAAATAGTTAAACTGTAGCCACCTTCCTGTGTGTGTTTCACCTGAAATTTATAGTTGTCTTTGTTTTATGCTGGAAGGCCAAGACCACAAACCTGGTGCTGACATAACATAGGTGTTTTCTTTTAACAACAAACAAACCCAAGCAAAGCCCCATTGTGTGTTTAACTGTTTGGCTTGCTCAGATTTCTTTGTAAATACCCATTTTTACCAATGAGGAATTGTTCATACGTATTTAATCCAGCCATTTTGATTGATACACACTTGCTCAGGTTTGGTTTTGCCATGTGTTATATGGTGGAATTGGATACTGGGAGCAACCTAAAGGGATCCCCATTTAGATGAGCGGATTTCCTTAGTGTTACCCAAAATTGCTTGGAATGGTCTTGCATTGTGTTTTTTAGTCCTTGTAGTTAAGGTGCAAGGGGTCTTCTGTAAATAATTAGTAAGATGAAATTCTTTAAAATGGACTGTGGCAACAGAGTGTTCCTACTCAAACTCCTTGATGTGGAAGGATGATGGGGTGTTGGAGGATGTGGATGGCAAGTGTGTGGAGGAGTTGATGGGTACTGTCTTGGTTCTACTGGTAGAAGTCTGTTTTCAGGCTGTTGGGGTGCTGTGCCATGGATGTCCCCACAGAAGCCCAAACTAGATCCTTACCCTCTACCCTCCCAGCAGTCCCTCAGTGTCTGATTTCACTGTTGTCTTGTGATGCTTACAAATACGCGAGATGTCCTTGCACTTAGAGTCTGTTGCTTGTGGGAAGACAACTGGTAGAGTACGAGCGGTTAGGGGATGCTTGGATCTCCTCCATTACATTCTCTCAATACTAGGATGTTGCGTTTGAGATGGTGCTTGGTTTCCAGTTCTACAGCTTGGCTACTATGCGGCTTTAAAATGAATTTGTTGTGTTAAAATCTGTTAACGAACATTAATGGGTTAAGAAAGTGAATTAGAAGTAACCCTTTTAGTGGTGTCAGACTTACTTTACAGTAGTATCTTTGCATAACTGATGAAAACTGTGTAGCTGTTGGATTTTTGTTGTTGGGGAAAACCACTAGGGAGGCGCTGTCGAGCTGGAGGGGGTTTTCAGCAATGCGGGGCTTTCTCAGGAGCGTGTGATGCTCTTGCCCCAAGCTTTAAGTTCAAGTGTTGGGTGGCAAATGGTGGAGCTGTTGTGTGGGGATACTGCCACTGAATTGAAAAAAAGCCACCCCTTGGGTGGGGTGAGCCCCAAGGTGGGTTGTTGCTGGCTGCATGGCTGCTAGCTCCACTTCCATTCTTTCAAAATGGCTTGTAAGAGCACCACTTCCTGTCCAGAGAGGAAGTAATTTTAGCCCAGGCACTGAAATATTTAGCAAATCTTTAAAACAAAAGGCACAAATTCCATTTCTTTCTGGTTTCAAAAGGGTGCCTGAGCCACATGGGGTTAAGGTGCCCCTTCAGCTGGGGTAGTTGGAAGAAGCCAGGGCTGTGGGGGTAGCAGGCACCCTTTAGGTGGAGGCTATCTCTTTTTTTGGTAGAAATGAAGGGGTGGGTCTATGGTACATCACCTGAGTTGTGGGGTAAATGTAGAGAGTGTCAATCAAAGGCAGAGCTCAGAGCTGGGAAGGAGCTCTAGATGGCGGCTGTGCCTTAGAGAGAGCGCGCTCAGCTCCGTGCCTTCCCCAACACTTTACGCAACTTTCCCTAACTTTCGGGCAGCCTCAGGGGGCCCCCACAGCCCCTTGCCTCTCCTAGGCACTAATCGGGGGCCGAGCGGACCTTTTTCGGGCAGAAAAGCAGCTTTTGAGGGCTCCCTTTTCGTGCCTTGCTGGAAAGAAGAAGCCGTGGAGAGAGCCCAGGTCGTTGTTTTTCCAGCTTAGAAGCCATGGCGTACCTCCATTTTTGTGCGCTCTCCTAATGAGCTTTTTCCCCCGGACATTTTTGTACTAATTATCGCTTCTTTTTGCTTTATCGGCAGCATATTTTTGGGATTAGAATATATATTTTTTTTCATTCTTTGAAATTCATATTTTATCATTATAACTAAATATTTTGGATCTAATGTTTTTCCACTACCCGAAACTAATATTGACTTGGTCCTGGCGGCGGTGCATGGATCAGGTAGGTGAGCAATTAATAATAATAATTTTTAGATTTCTGCTGTTTTGAGTACTTTGATTTTTGACCGATTTGAGCTGTATTGAGATGACGCAATAAGATACAGAGATTATTTGCATCCAGTGTTACTTTGGGAAAGTTTGCAGGATGCTCCTCTACTGTGTTTATTCTCAGATTTTTCTTTTAAAAACGATTATTTGTTTTAAATCTCCGTTTTGCCGTGTTGATCAGTGTTGTGTATTGTTATAACAATATCATTGCAGCGTCAGGACTTTGTTCCTGATAATGAAAGCCAGTGAAACGAACTGGGACCTTACCTTTCTTTCAACTTTTGACAGTAAATACCTGGGCACAGGACTTCAAAGCAAACAGACACCCCTGACCCCCTCTTAATATTTAAGAATAAAAAGATGATGAGAAATAAGGACAAAAGCCAAGGAGAGGAGGGTTCAGTCCACAGCAATGCATCGAGGTATGATCTATCAACTTTCTTTTTTTTTTTTTTTTTTTAAAAACCTGTGAATACCCTGTTTACTTTGACAGCCTTGGGTTACTGTCAGTGCTTAATACAAAACATTTTACTGATTTTGCTTCCTTTTTAAGGAATGACCTTGAGATTGTTAGCATGCCACACCCTAATTTTTTTTGGTAGCAATTTCTGAAAGTTGTGTTGCGACTTAAGGGCCCATGTCATAGTCAAAAGGTACTGTACCTTTATTCAAGGGAGCCCTTTCCTCTTTATTATGTTTTTCCAGCTTTTGAATTTCAGTTTTTAGTTTTTTTGTGCTGTGAAAAATGACCTTGTCGGTTTAGCCATTGCTGCATTGCACCATTTTACATACAAGGCAAATTTTTCTTTGAAGAATCTCAGAAGTCTAAACTTTAACTGAGGGCCATACAGAAGCCTGGTGTAGTAGTAAATTATAGTAAATAGACACAAGAAAAAGTTACATGAATGAAAAAAAGCTCATTTTAAAATATAAACTGGAAAGTGCCTGTTTATGTGATACCCCTTACTTCAAATTTTACTTGAGCTTGTAGAACTTTGGTACTGTTTAGGTATTTTAGAATATTTTTTTACAATTTAACCAGACTTTCTCCTGCTTGTGATACCATTTTGTACCATAAAATACACACTGGGACTGTTAACAAGAGACTACAAATGCTTTGCTTGTTTGTTTAATGTATTTTTGCTCAGAGTGTTTTTATTTACTTTTGTTGAAGAATGAGATTCTTCACAGATTTTTCTAAACTTAACCGTGATGTGGGAAAAGCATGAAATACTGGAAATGTTTGTTCGCTAGGAATGCAGAAGTATAATTACTGAATTGCTCATTTTGTATTTAAGGGGTCGGCTTTTTAAAAAATTGGAAATGAAACTGCGTTTTTGTTTCCTAGTTTGTAAATATACTTGAGTTCTGCATTTTGTTAATTTCAATTGAATTGTGGCCTGTTTACTTTCCTCTAGTGTTGTCTTCAGTATTTTTAACCAACATTAATAAAAAAGAATTCTGAACTGTCTGTTGTATCACATGTGCTCTGTGATGTTTGCAGGTGTTTGATTAGTATTCTTGATGTCCAGTATTTAACCTTCCTTAAACACACAAACTTGAAATACTGTGGGAATATATATATATATACATATATATATAAAAAATCAAATTACTGTAACCTTCTAGCATAAACTCGGATGGTATTCTGGATGTATTAAAATTGCAGTCAAATTTTAAATCTTAAAATGGATATGGGTAAGTTTGTTTAATTTGAAATTATTATTAACTAAATGAGCCCCAGGGACTGTTGAAGCATTACATATAGCACCTATCCAGAGCTTTTATAACAATGCAGTCTAAAAACACATCAGAATTTCAAACTGTGCTACCTTTATATTACTGTAAATACTGCACACGAAATATTGCTTAAAAAGTCAATTTTCAAAAATATTACTTACGATTCAGCTTGTCTAAGTCTTTATGCTTTTTTGAAAGTGCAGATTACCAGCAAGAGCAATAATAGATATCATTTGTTCAGGAAATCTAAATTAAGGTATTTTGTCGGTGTTAGAAGTATTATGCTAAATAGGAGATTAAATTGGAGTCATCTCACAGTAGTTCCACAGGAAGAAGACCTTTGGGGTTTTTTGGCCTTAGGGGTATTGTATTTGCATAGTGTCTCATGTGTGCTTTTGGTGTTTTCATTGAAAGGTTATTTATCATAATTGATCAATTTACATGTAACACCTGTTGTTTGAGGCTACCGTTCTCCCCCTTCACAGTTTTTTTTTTTTTCTCAGAATAAACTTACTGTGGGTAACATCCATTCACCTGAAGTGTGGGAACAATTGAGCACAGGATATTTGTAAGTGAGCCCTGTTGAGCTTATTTCTGAGCTGTGAGTCAGCTGAATGTCGTAAAATGGGCTTTACTTCCTGAGGTTGACTTGAAGTTGTAGGGGAAATGATTTCTAGGAAGCAAAGCCACCACTTTGCTTTACTGTAGCCCAGAAGTGCATTGATGGCTGCACTTCAAGTGCTGCTGGCCAGCTTTCTCCCCGGTTCTGAGACCAGCTCATCATCCATGGAAATACGTGAAGTACCATTACATAAACCCTGGTGGGAGGCCTGGGTGGTGGAGATGGGTGGAAAAGGTAGATATGGCTGGTGCCGATCACCTGGGCTGGAGAATCCAAAATGCAGGACTAGAGAAAGGTGGCAAAGCAGAAGAAAGTACAATTCTTATATACTTTAGTGTCCTAACTGGGGAATATGTTTTGGAATGACTCTTACCTTTCCAGTCCTAAGGAAACACAAAGGCATATGCTGAATAAACAAAAATACCTGAGAATTGTCCCAAAACAGATTATTGTTACTGGGAAATGAAGTGGTGTTAACTCTGTACAGTTTGTAAGCTGAGGGGTGTACTTAGTGCCTTTGTTGATGAATGGCAACACCTGTCCTTTGTGTATTGACAGTAAATCTTAACAAACTTCAAGCTGATTGATTTCATGCAACTTTCTCCACCTAGGATAAAAGTTGGTATGCTGCAGTTGCTAATAACTACCACCTGTGTATCTGGGACTTGCATTAAATAATTGAACGAAATCCTGGTGTGTTTTCTAGCATCTTCTGTGCTGCGTTTCTGAAAGGCAGGTGGTATGAGAGGGTACGTCTGGGGTGGAACCCTACCTAATGTGAACTTCAGAGGCGAGAGGCAGGCTGGGGTCCCCTGAAGTCCAGGAGTGAATTTTGTAGGGGATAGCAAGTAACACACAGTGGATACGTTGCTCTTCTTTTCCTTTGGCCTCCATCTGTTGCAGTTGCTCTTGTACCTCCTTAATTACCCTGGTGTGGGAACAGTTTCTGGTACAGAAGCTGCAGGGCTGAACAAACCCTGTATCCAGCTCTTGGCTTCTCTAACACTAAAACATCATTTTGGGGGGATAAAAAAAATAGACTGTGGTGGATTAGCTCCTGGACTGTTTTCTGTTCAGAGAGCTGGAAGTCTGAGGTCTGAAATGGCGGGGGTTTTTTGCTCAGTGGCTACTTTACAGAGGCAGAGTGCTCTGCAGCGTGTGCTGCAGCCTTCGCAGAGCAGAACACCCTCGTTTTACGTGGCAGCCATTTTATGAAGATGTAGTTACATACGAAAGAGGATTTGGGGGGGGGAGGGAGGAAGGAATCAAAAACGTTAAACAAAAATTGCCCTCCCTGGCTGCCGATAAAAGCGGAGGGCATCCCTTTCTTCTTCTGGTAGCGCTCTGGAAGCCCCGATTCCCCATGAAAGGAGAGGGGAAGGCTGCACCGCCTGGCATTTTGGTGTGGGTCCAGTTCAGTCACAAAATGGCTGTTCCTTTGTGCCGCATAGCTGACAGACATACTGCATTGCACTGTGTGTACTCTAAAAAACAGCAGGAAGTTGCTGGTGGGGAGTTCAAAGGCCATCTTGTGCTCGCTGGGGACGGGGATTGGCTGCGCTCGCTTGGTAACAGGCGGGCGGTGGCGGCGGCTCTTGCGGAGGCAGAGCTGTGCCTGCGCGTGATGGCTGCGCACGCCGCGCCGCCTCTCCCCCGCCAGCCCCGGGCTCTGCTGGGCCGAACTGGGCCGAACTGGGCCGTACTGGGCTGAACTGGGCCATACTGGGCTGAACTGGGCCATACTGGGCTGAACTGGGCCGAACTGGGAGCGTGGCTGTGGAGCGTGCAGCTGCCGCTGCCTCCCCTCACTTCCTCTCATCTGGCGGGCACAGGCTTTTTTTCTTTCCTTTTTTTTTTTTTTTTTTTTTTTTTTTTTAATGGTGGAGGCTATTTTGAGAAGCAAGTGACTTGAAAAGGAGTAGAGTTATTTTTGGTGTGGCATTATTTTTTTTTCCCCCCTATTTTTTTTTTTTTTTTTTAACTTGAAAAGGAATTGCAGAAGATTATAGTATTCCTGGAACATCTGGCACTTTTTACAGCATTATGGCTTGCAGCATCCGTAAATCACTAAAACTCATTCTTGCTTTCAATGTGAATTTTGCAGCTGATTTTCTTTGAGCATAGTGGAAACATTAAACACATTTATTAGAATGCTTCCAACTACGGGTTTCAACTTTTCATCTGGGCTGGGGGTTTATTTTTTTAGCTGTTGTGACCATTGTGTATGTACCTAGTCTTTCAGTTTCATTTGCACTGCTGGATTCTTTAAGAAGGATTTTTTTTTCCCTCCTTTTTAAGCTTTAACCCTTTATGAAACTGGAGGCTTTTTTGAAAAGGGAAAAATGCTTGATCAGTGCAGGACACAAAAGGAATAATGTGCAAGGAATTCATATGAATAATGATGTAATCTGTGTGCAGCACAAAGGAGATTGTTCTTGTTTTGCTTTGTTACTTCTGTTTCGCATTACCCTCTCAAAGGAAATGTCTCATCTAATTACAAATGCACAGTTCTGAGACTTTCAACTTCTCTGTTTCCTGTTTTGTGATTGCTGCCAGGAATGGGTACAATATATACAATGCTATAAAAAAGCCGCACCAACTGCAAGAAGCTACATTTAGCTGAAATTTAATCTTGTATGGATTGTTCTTTTTAGCTAAACATCTTAAGCTCATTAATCAAATTTCATGTTCTCTAAATGCGTGACTGTTTTGCTGAATAAAAATGGAAAAATGGGAATAAAAAGCTCACCTGGTTAATGCTGTAACCCTGCAGAAAATACTTCTGTGGCACAGAGCGTGTGCTGCTGCCGGGGCATAGCTATACTTGTGTGCACGTGCACGCACACATGCTCGCACACCACTCCTGCCCAAATTTATTAGTGCCTTCAGCCAAGAGAAGTTGACGTGGCTGAGATTGTAGATTAGAGCCTCTTCTGCTTTCTGTTGGTTTGATGTTTCACCTGCTGTACTTTGAGGGCAACAGTTACCCTTATCTGCACCTTCCCCCATTTCCTATGTGAGCTGAAGCTGAGCTCTCCCAGGGCTCAGGGAGAAATAATG